AAAATCGTAAAGTTAAGAAAATGTTGGGAAAGATCTGTGTCTGCTAGCCGCAGTTTCCTATTGCTTGTCTCTTTGAGATAAGCGAAGGTGACCCCGCTTACCGTCTGCTGTTGCAAAATTTCTCGTTTGCTAAGAGGGATGCTTATACGTATTCCAATGGTGGTCTATAAAGGTATAGAAAAACTCTTATGATAAAGATTCAATAAAAAAAGCGACTTAAAAAATGCTGTAGGACAAGTTCTTCTTTTTGTCGAGAAACCCTGAGAAATCGAGATTTCTTTGGCCATTGTTGAAAAATCTTCATTTTCGAGAAGTTATTAGACATCCAGTTTATGTATTGCTAATAAAATTGCTGTATCCACATAAATACCGTACGTTATCTAAGCCGAGCAATTCTCTTTAGATATCAGATTGTTTATGAATGAAGCCTTTTCCGCAATATACAACAATATACTGGAAAGTAGTTTCGTACCTTCGATCACATATCTTCGTAAGGAGATAAAGGACTTGTCTCATGTCTTTCAACTCAACGTGGTATATGTTCCTTCCCATCTTGTAAATCTCCCCGTAGATGAGGCGTTAGTCGGCTTCACCGTAGTGTTATGCAGATTTCAAAAAATGCCATTTTCTCCCATTAAATAAAAACCTATAATGACAAAAAATTCCATCCTCTATCCGGTCTTTTTTCTTCACTTATTGAACAATTTGCTTTTGCAAGGTGGCAGTAGTGCATTTCGATACACATGTAGAGACCCTGGCTGTAACACACCTGAATACACTTAGTCAAACACTATGGGCAAGGTCTACTTGCTTTCTTTGTTAACCTACTCTGTTAAGCACTCTTTTTACCAAAATCGTCTCAAAGCCTCATGAAGCCAGACGATTCGGCCAACATTGAAACACCCTCAGCGCTTGAAATTTTAAATCTTTTACCTCTGACGTAATGATTGGCTAGCTTTTTTAACAAGAGGGAAGTCCCGTAAATGAACGACTAGTGTCGGGAACAACAAATCTCTGTGAAGGATCTTCATATACAACTTGATAACTCACTTCATGAAACCTAACTACTCTCAGCGTCATAAAACTGCTTGTCACACTGAGTAATTTTTAGTCGCTGTCATCAGGGCATGAAAAACTGAGAGATCTAGCTGAGAGACAGGCAAAACGAAGGATCCGGATGGTGTGGTGGTGAAGTGCGCTGCTCCCCGGTAAGGACAACAGCGCGTGTTCGTTCTCCACCGCATACACCTACGGTCCGGAGTTTTGCAAATATCTCAGCATTATATAACCATACAGGCTTTAAAAAAACTTCGAAACTATAGAAAACACTTTGGACAAGGCTTAACTTGAAGTTCAAACTAAATTAGGTGAATGTTTCAGCAATCTCAAGAACACATTGGTCCCAGAAAAACTGATACAGGATTTTTTTAAGAATCCTGAGACCTATGGAAGCAGAAACGATTTAGAAATACTGGCTCTTTTTGCACAACTACATATCTTCTGACCGGAACTGGACACTAGAATTCAATTTGTTTAATGATCTCGTAAAAATTGTAAGACAGATAAGAAGGTACTACGTGAAAATCATCTTCATAAAGCCTTCTACGACTACACTGCACAAAATATGAACACGTCGACGAGTTAGACAAGAACATCTCTATGGACGCCTATACTTTTTTGCATTCATTCGTTTATTAGCGATTGTACCAAACACCCGAAAATCGACAATCGGCAGTTAGGGCTATAAGAAGTTTACTGAGAGGCAAATGGAACGTTCTGCAAATCATTCGAGAAAAGCTGCGGAAAAACGCCCTGTACGAAGGCCAATGAATCACTAATTTTTTAAACCACACCGAATAGTTCTAGCAAACATGAAAAACGGCTACAAAAAAAACCGAATGAGATTAAAAGGGAAAAGCCATCATGTACTTCTTAAACCCCAATAGCAATTATTCAAAAAGGACGATGAGTCTTTATCTATAACTGTGTGCCTCAGGCATAGGACACTTGATGGTACTTTTTCGAGAATCGCTTAGCTTTCTCAAATACCACTCGTCTCCAAGGAATTTGGACCACCTACCTTTTATGTTTTGGTTTTTGTAACACGTTTCTTCTATTTCCCAGTTCAGTGCGAACAGAACATAGAATTAGAAGACTAGAATCCTTATCTGATAATGTTTTCGGTCTCTTCTGTGGCAGCACTGTACAGAGGAAGTAACGGTACTGTCTTAACCCTACTCCCACTTCACGCTATTCAGCATTTTCTACTTGACTATGCTCGCTTTGATGGAATTTTCTCCCGTGAACAATTTATTCTTGGTGTTGTGCACCATTTCTTCCTTTTGATTATAATGTAGTTATAGCATATGTTATAATTTTCTGTAAAATTATCTAAGAAGCCAGAAATGACTCAAGTTAATTTTTCCAGTTTTCAGCTTTTCTTCTTCGTACTTAGGTATTTTGTCCAGAGATTTTGATATCCTGAAAAAATTCGAAATGATTTAGGATTTTCTGTGGTGCTCAATGATTGTGTTTGCAGTTTTCTGCTATTGAAAGGTCAGTTATATAAAGTCGAATATTAAACGACGTCTTCCTCTTCGTGATGAAAATAAACAATATGCATTTGTTTAGTCGTATGAGTTATCTTCGATGCAGGTTTTCGGTACCAGTCTTCATCTCTTCATATTTATCACTTACAATGAATTTGTGAGAAGAAATATGTACCAACCTCTATCTGTCCATTAAGGTCAACTTATTAGTAGTATGAAAGGTTTTCAAACGGCGCTTTCTAACAAACATATTCATTAATGATCCATTTGTTCAAAAAGGTTTCCTCAAATACATACGCGAGATCGCTTCCCTAGTATACACTAATCACGGAGATAGGCGGAAGGATATGTGATTAGCGAAGGATCAGGTGTAACACAAAACGAAATGCAAACCCTGCTGAATATCTCTTGCAAACTTTGAACAAAGTTTGCTTGAATGCCAACTTTTTTTGCAATAAAACGATATTACGACCTTTTTTATATGCATGGGTTAGAAGAGGGTAGCGCGGTTGTAGTGATCCCGCTCATTAAACGGACATCGGAACCTATTCAGGTGCTGGTTTGACACCACTCCAGCCCACCAAGTCTATCGTCTCTCCGGTACCAGATAACTGGTACGAGAGTATGTCGAAACGTTAGCCGAAAATAAATATATTTATCAACCTCGTGCAAGCTTATCAAGAAAGAATACTGGTACGAGAGTTCTCCTAGAGGAACACACTTCCTTCAACCCACGCGAAAACGCTCCACACGGCTTTATTAGCATCTCAGAAAGAATCGACGCGAGCAGTGTTCAATGATATTCGTAGCGAAGACGAAAATATCCCCAAACACAATCTGAAGCCACACGCAAAAGTTTTCGAAGCGTTCCGTGGATGGTGCATGCTAGGAAACGAGTTGAATGCAGGAAACACTGGGACGCTTACATTGTATGTGATGTGGGCAATAACGAAAATATACATAATTAGTGAATAAATATTGCGCGTATCCTCCCAACGGTTTACCGCCTTATCGTGGCTGGGAGGTGTTCCTGGGTGCCGGGCTGCGATGTAGAGGGCGGGATTCATCCCCTGGCAGGGTCTTCCAGGAAGAAAGGGGGAGGAAAGAAGGGCAGGACAAGGTGCCCGGCGTTTCCATCAGGAAGCCTAGCTAAGACTAAAAAAATACTATGCCCCACCACCGTCCTGGCATCAAAGTCGCATGGTGGCAAATCTCCCTCTGATCCACAAGAGCTGTGACTGCCCGTGGTCGTGACGACCTGGGGCAGACTTTGGCCAGGCTGACCTCGAGATTCCAAGAAACCACAAAGGCTTAGCCAGAAAATCTCCGAAAAAGTCGAAATTATGCGGTGGACCGAACAACTAGTGAGGACGGGCCCTTCAAGCATCCAAGTAGGTAAGTATTGCGAGTATCCAATTACTTGGACTCGATTCGTTGCCTGCGTCCATTAGCGATGAAGGTTTTCGGGTTTGCATGTGTGTTGAATTACTAGTAAAAGTTTTTGTTCTCTTCATGAGTGTCGCTGAATTTTGGTCGAGTCAGTTCTACGTTGAATCCTAAGATAACTGTGCTAGATAGTTCCCAGGTCTTCATCATAGTCAATGATCAAGCTATGTGGACCTGAGGGATCTCCAACTACAAAATTCTGGCATGATGGCTCATTCTCAAACTTAGGATCAATCAACCAACGCATGACATAACTCAAAGGAATTACTCAACGTTTCATGCTTTATCTTCTGCCTCCTATTGCTTTTCTTACACTGTAGTAGTTGAAATCATAACGGACGCAGGTGAATAAATTGTATTGTTTTTCGTTAACCAATCATTATCGTCCGCCATCGAGACTTTCTGAGTGGTCAATGATCCATTGACATAAATCGTCTTCAAATATGAAGTAGAAGGCAGAAAATTACGAGATTAGCATAGGTACTGAACAAAGAGAACTCTCCATTTGACTAATCCCATAATCTGTACCATCACAGCAGTTATAAAAAACAAAAACATCCTGCTACAGGACAAAAGGATAGGCCATTCTCCAACGTTATTTAATCTCTCTTGAAGCGATATTTGTGGGAATGAAGAAATTTGCAATTTCATCGTCATTTTAGCAAATTGAACTTCTATTTTAAGTGAAAGTTCCTCAAGTAACAGTCTTGCACAATATGTTTTAAGATCACAGAAACAGAACGTATATAAGTATTTACATAACGGAACAGTGATAAATTAAACAAGAAAGGTTATTACTCGGTAAAAATTGGACTGACACGGAAAACAATAGGATGAATTTTGCTGAGATTGTATTTTATAAGAAGCTGCGAAAATAAAATAAGAACTGGCATAGCATCTGGTAGAACCGTCTTAGAAAACCCGGAATATTAACAAACACAAAGCAGTAAGCAAGTTTTCAATGATCTCAAAAATTATGCACATGTGTGGTGATTTTACAGCTTACTATGTTGGAAAGACACCGATGAATTCTGAGAGCGTCGGTGTTAGGCAAGGATCAAGAAGCGCTTCTTCAGGACGAATACGATCATCCGGAACCAAAGCCCAACATCGTTCCATCAACTCGTAAATTGCTATTGGACAGGATTTTGGTCGAGGTGGTCGCATACCTTGAAAAGAAAGAAAGCTGATCTTTTAAACAGAAAAACGTGGAAATTACCGCACCACACTTGCAAGGTTTGTACTCACAATGATTGAAACTGTTCTTCAACGAAAGTGGTGGCCAATGCGATTCCTCAAATTGCACAGACAGAACCCCACACTGGCAGAACCAATAAATTGATGAAACGTTTGTTGGGAGAAGGAAAACACTGACTTGATACATCACCAGGTCTTCGCAAACCACTTTACAAGCTTTCTTTCATAGAGTCAGAGCACGGCGCATCCTTTTGAGATGGATCTATGCCAAACACCTTACCACTTCATTTTTTGAAACGCTACGATTTTAACTTTTTAACTACATTTCGATTATGTCGGTAGGAGAAACTGCAACCACTTTTTTAAAAAAGTTTTATAGTTGTATATTCAGCAAAAGATCGAGGTAATTCACTCAACTGAACTTAAACGCGAACCAATTTTACAGTTGTTAGGTTTCTGAGTAAAAACATAGGCACAAAAACAAAAGGTCTTAAGATAGTTGAAATTATACAGTTTAATGTAATACACTAACCAGCCATTGCATATGACACCATCTCAAAGTTATTCAACTCTGCGAAAGGCACTTCGCCGTAACTGAATACTTCCCATATTGTAACTCCCAGTGCCCTGAAGAGGAACAATAGTTGAAAACCGACGACGACAAGTCTGCCGCTCAGTGTCGATCTGTTTTGTTCAAATTTGGAGATTTTACTTACAACCTAGCAACTACGATGGAAGATGTAACGTGAATCAAACCACGCTTGTACTTCAGCCTCTCCTAAAGTCTTCATTTACGTAATGAATATATATATATATATATATATGTAGATACATTATATACATACACATAAACAATTCATTGTTTAAAAAGTTCCTCATTAAGTAAGAATGCGATATTATTGAATGTGCTCAACGTCAAACTCACCACACATCGCTACTTGTACTAAATTTGTGGTCGGTTATGGCTTCCGGTGGAAGCCAACGTACTGGCAAAAGGCAGTGGTTTTGCATTCTGTAGTAATCGTTTTGACCATATAATCTCCGTGACATCCCAAAATCCGAAATCTAAACAATTACCTTTATCGAATCCTTTCAAAGTTTTAACGTTTGCCCAACACGACGTGGGTTTTTGGATGCCAAAATACATTGGGCATTAGAGGGTACATCATTTTGGCAAAAGTAACCCTCAGAAGGACTATAACAATTCTGATCGGAAGGAAAATCTGTCTTTGATCCACAAGGATCAGTTGCTTCTTGGCATGGTTATCTAGAAATTATAGAAAAAAACCATGTCCAACCGTCATAACACCAGTAGAAATTACGTTGGATGCAGAACGATAGATGAAGATGTGTAACTCAAGTATGTATTAAAAGAGCTCATCAGGAAAATCATTTTAATATGGAAGTAGTGTAGTCACCTTTACAACAATCGGAGGACGTTGCGACGCCAAGCAACAGCGTAAGTCACTTTCGCCATTTACGAGGCAGTTACGTGCAGCAAGATCACGGTGGACGATTTGTTGAGTTGTAAGGTAACACAAACCGGATACTATCTAGAAAGTCACTCCTCTATCCATTTCAGTTGAAATACTAATAATGCTTTCACATAGTATGCGCGTAGCGCAGTGTTTAAAGGTACACCGTAGCACATACGCGGCTATTGATTAGACCCAGCGCCTCGTGCTCACTAAGTCTTCTATTCCTCCGGAGTCGGAAAAATGCTACCAGACTTTTCTGGAAGGATAGCAGCACTGATACGTTGTCAAGCACCAAAAAGCTATTATATGGGCAGGAAATGCATTCAATCACCTCTAACGATGCTTGGTATAGTCGAATGCGTGACGGTTGCCTCAGGAATTAATCAACGACTGTCGCTTTATTCTTCACCGTTTAGGACTCTAACTAATAGAAAGAATGGTTTTACCAGTAGTAATAATGCAACAAGATAAAACCTCCAGTGGTTTCCCGCCTCTCTGCAATTGGAGATGTTCCTAGTTGTCTAAATGCCATTTGCAGTGCGTTGTTCAACATTTTTGTCCCCAAAGTAAAGTGTTCGAAGCCTAGAATGACAACATGTGGACGTTTTGCGAGTAAACTAATGTGAAGAATTACTGCCATCGTTGTAACATCTTCACTTCTGTCAAATGGTGAACAGCTGCAAATGATACGAAATGCAACTACAAGGATGCTGCGATATGACCAAAACTCGGTACCGCCATGTGGGCTTCGAACCCACGACTACCCTTCCCAAGAGAGCTCGTGCTCTATCCACCACACCAAGCAAGGCCCTTGCTCTGTTTTTCTCTTAGCAGGATCCTTACCCTAAAGGTGCTACCAGTAATCACCTGTCAACGAGAATGATCTGAGGAGCACATATCGTCGTTAAATGCAGCTAAGCCAAAGCTGCAGTCGAAACTATAGTGTTTTAATTTTTATTTATGACGGCCCCTTCAAGTATTCAAGTAAGCAATATTATAGACATTAATAATAAATAATAATGAAATTGAAATTAACGTTACGCTTGGTCACTGATCACAGCGAAAATAGGGTGGGGGACCCGCTTCGACTGCTTCAAAAGCGGATTTGCTTCAACAAATTTGTATTCCATTAACGCTAAGAAGGTATCTTTGTCAGAAAAACCTCCAAAAAGATGGAGCTCATTTAGCGAATTAGAGTTTTGTGGCTTACAAGAAATGATGTTGCGGAAGGTGAAACACATATGAAAGCAGCAATGGCCACAAGCCAGAGAAGTATCGCCACATCTGCCCACTCATATAGGCTTTATTTATTTTTGACAAGTAGAAAAACCTACTGAGAGAAAAGTCAACTAGCAGGAAACAAGTGCACGAAAGGAACAGACAATTTGCCAGAAAATGAAACTACAATGGGAAAAGCTGAGGTTTTTGAAAACAAGAGTCTCTTTGTTATGAAGTATAAGGAATCCAATAAAAGCAGTTTCTGGAATTTTCCTTTGAAACCCGACATTTTAATAGACATAAAGTTTTGCTTAAAACGTTGGCTACACATCGAACTTTTAATACTTGTACGAATAGATTTTGAAACACTGTGCTAGAAAAACATTTCATTCTCTAAGAGAAAATAGATGTAACCATTAACGAATAAATGTAACTAATAAGGACGGTGAAACGCGACCAACCTGACGAACAATGAGTCTAAGTTCGTCTTCCACAAGAGCAGGTGGAAACTGTGAATAACTAGACGACGTGGGAGCGCGAGCTCGAAGATATGTCCGCAAATCACCTGTGAACAAAAAAGTGCTTCTATGATGATTACCAAAAGGAAAAAAAGAACGTAAACATGAATGACTCGTACTCATAACGTTGCAATGAAACCCTACCTAAATTCATTCGCTCAAACACTAACAAAAGATGTGGTCCGTCGCGAGCCATTCCATATAGTCGTACAATATTTGGATGCTCCAATCGTGACAAAACAACGGCCTAGATTCTAATTATTAAAATAAAACCATTTTTATCAAAAATGACGTTTGTACTAACTACGAAAATCCTAATAAGCACAAACTAACAAGCGATGAAGAACCTATACTTTTATTATTCTTCACCAAACTCAAATTGCGTCTATTGGTGAAATTATGACCCACATGGGGAGAAATTATGAAGTACTTCTGATTCTCTCCCATGATTCCGGATGTGACCAACTTAAGTCGTCCTTAATCGGTCGATCGACTAATCGCAAAAATCGATACCTTCATATAAGTTGCTGTCACCGAGGAAGAATTGAGTCTTAAACAATCGAACACTTTTCACATTCAAAAAATTGGCAGCTGTCTGCGATGACGATCCGAAAACGCCCTAGTCCGGCTCTCTTGAGTTTCCAAAGAAAATCAAGCTTGATTATCATTCAAGGTTCCAGTGAGAAAGAAGTCCACTAATACATAGTTCGTAGCCGAATCTTTCCATGAACTAAGTGCCGAACCCGGGCACCTCAATGGACTGTAGTTGAAAGATGACAAAAGAAATGAAGAAGTACAAGAACCAGAAACAAATACGAAGACTGGTCATTTAAGCGCTTAATTATTAAGAGTCCACCTTACACGAAATCTAGTTCGAGAGCATAACACTGATATTTGTCAATGCCTTTCTCTGATCACACGTATTAGTTTAGATTTCTTTTTCTAAATAGGTAACAAAAAACCTGAATGAACTAAACCTTAAAAATATCTGCTACCTCTTTCTCAACGTCCTCGTCTGCTTTGATCGTTTTAATGGCCACAGAACGTTCACCAGTCTTCTCCCAAGAACCACAGTATACTTCTCCAAATTCACCCTAAACAAAAACCTCTAACGCTGATCAAACAATAGTAAATTATCACTTTGTTATGGTGGAAGATAAAGCGTTAAGCAACATAAAGCCTTCGACTTAAATCAAACCTTTAGAGATGCGTCGTATGCTCAAAATTGTTAGTCCTTACACAACGATGTAACCACTTATGGGAGAAATATGGGGCGAAAATACTAGCAGCGTCTAATTTCAAGTCATCCTATCTCAACTCAAAGTGATTCCTATTAATTACAGTTGAAAGTCTACAAACCTTGGATTACAGATTAAAAGTTCCCCGTTTTATTAGAAAGAAATTTTAACCTTCTAGAGCCTATTACATATATTTTCTCCAATTTTTTCCTTTAATGAAAATGTCTCGAGCACGAAGCTAAACGAACACGCGAAATTGCATTTAGCAGTATGAAATGGTGTTCTTCAGTACACTGTTCATCTGTACAACTGTCGCTCTTTCGTTGGAAAATGAAAGACCTTTGAGTTTCATTTTCGGTTTATTGAAAATCATGATAAGTCATGAAAGTTCAGGACAGTCAGTGCGTCTTTATTCAGTAGACAAAGACGCTTCGCGAGCTATAGAGAAAATTCACGACCAAAATATCACCATCCTAAAACGATATTAACACCGACGTAAAAACAGAGGTCAGACAAGGTAACCATGTCACCAAAATTACTCTCTTCCACCATCCGCAATATCAAGCCAACACTGGAATAGAAGAAATTGGGAGTGAAAATCGATGGTCAGCAATTACACTACCTTCACTTTGTCATGATATTTTCCTTCTAACATCAAACAACAGTCAAGCAGAGCGAGCGCAACCTGATTTTTATAACGTCTGTGGAAACATTGGTATTCCACCAAATATCACAAAAACGATATTTATGAAGAACGGATTGGTTTCGCTTGTCCTGTTCAAGCTAAACAGAATGTCTTCGCACCAGCTACGTGTATCTTGTTCGGGCAATTCAACATGATGAACGACTTAGCTCCAGAGTTGAACAGAAGGAAGCGAACGGCTTTGGAAGCTTTCAAGAACATTAAGGAAGTGGTAAAGGGAACAAAGCATCTGACTCTGTGCCTAGTTTTTTGACTCTACCATTTTTCCTGCCTTAACGTATGGGTCAGAAACGTGATCACTATGTAAGCAAGATGAAAGATCACTCACGTTGTTAAACGCGTAGTTGAGAGGACGATGCTAGATATATCCCATCTCGCGCAATTAAGGGACGGGATTTGAGGTTCCGATCTACGTCACCGATTGAAAATGAAAAGAATCGTTGCATGAACAACAGAAGGGGGAAAACACACTTAATGCGTGTGAACCACAACCGATGGACAAGAGCTGTAAGTGACTGGATTACATTGGATGTCAAACCCAGTGCAGAAAAAACAAACCCGATGGTGAAAACTTTTCACCAATTCTCGAAGAAAGATATAAGGTTCAGGGAGTCTTCAGAGCAAGCAGAACCCACTGGACAAGGAGAAAGAGAAATCCGTTCCGTGACTAACGTTTGTGAAGCACTGTCTTGAATAAACTCAGTTATTATGATTGGTTTCACATCCAAATTTAGTGATACGGCTCAGATCCATATTGAAAACGGTTACACGCAGCAATCACGATAATTCTTATGACCGATTTTCTATTAAACTCCCCAATGATCAAATAGCTCTCGATATTCTTGTTGAGAAAATTCGAGAACCTGTCGATACCGCAATTTAGATTTTCATTTTTCTGTATGTGCCATTGGAGTGTTTGACATAGCAAATTGGATATCTACACCATTCCAGGCTCTGAAGAAGACGACACTGCTGAAACTTCGGCTTTAACGGAATAAAGAATAAAGTAACACCTCATGTTTGCTCAACAAGAATACCGAGAATCACGATCACCTGCATGACCTGTAGTCCCGCTGATCGTCGATTGAGTCGAGCGGGCGGGAGGAAATCCTCCATTTTCCCCGTCGCGTGCAAGAGTAGCCCAGTGTGATATGCTCGCTCTAGGAACTCGTCGAATATCATATCTCTCACCTAGGCTCTTCATGAAAAACCCTGACCATCGGATCGCTGGTCTACCTGCAGGACGTTTAACATCCCAAGGAATCCAGTCACTAACGACTCTTGTCCATCGGTTGTCATTCATGCGCATTAAGTCTCCGGCCCACCTTACCATCGACTGACTGGCGTACAGAACGGCATCTTTGTTTTTTGATCACTGACGCAGGTCGGAGATTCGGATTCCTTCCCTTACTTACGTGAAACAGGATACTCCTAGCATTGTGCCTTCAATAACGCCGAGTAATCTTTCATCCTGCTCACGCATCGACCAGGTATCTGACGCACACGATAGAGCAGTAAGTACCGTTGAGTCGAAAAGATGGTTGCGGAGTCTGATGTTCTTTGAACTCTTCACTACACCCTCGGTGCTCTCGAAAGTTCAACAAGCCGCTCGTTTCCTTCTGCTCAGCTCTGGAGCTAAGTCGTTCAACATGTTCATTCCCCGATCTAGATAGAAGTAACAGTAGTATTCGAAGATATTCGTTCCGTTGAGCGTGAATGGAAGATACGAAACCAATCCGTTCCCCATAAACATCGTTTTCGTGAGATCTAGTCGAAGACCAATCTTCCCACAGACTTTATCAAAATCGGTAAGCATACGTTTCGTTTGGGCTAACATTTGGTGTTATAAGGACGATGTCAACAGCAAAGCGAAAATGTTGTAACTGCTGACCTCCAACTTTCACTCCCATATTTCCTCTTTCCAATGTTCACCTGACGTTATGAAGGGTGGCGGCGAATAATTTTGGCGAGATGGTAACGCCTTCCCTGACCCCTCTTTTGATGGCGTTGCTAATACCGGTGTAAAATGGTGATATCTTGGTTGTGAAAATTTTGTACAGCTCACGAAGAATGCTTATGTACTGAGTAGGGACTCCTTAACTATCAAGGGCTTCCAAGACTGCTTCTATCTCAACTGAATCAAAGGCCTTCGGTAAATCGATGAAAGAGAGACAGAGCAGTCTTTTGTACTCTCGCGATACTTCAATGAGCCTTGTTACCGTGAGGATGTGGCCCATCATAGTAAATCCTTTTCGAAACCCTACTTGCTCACATGACTGCTCTTCGTCCAGTGTCAACACTGTTTAGAACGACTGGAGTAAAGAGCTTGTAGGCGACAGATAGCTAGCAAATTCGGCGATAGCTGCCGATATCGTGTAGGTCACCATTCTTGAACAATAACACGGTCTTGCTGGTCTTCCACTGAGTAGGGACCTTACATTCAGGCAGGTAACGTGTGAAGAACCGGCCCAGTTTGTTTACGAGAATTGGCGGAAGGTTCCTCAGGTGTTCTGGTCTTATACTGTCCGGCCCTGGGGCTGTTCGATTTTTCACTGACGAAATGGCATATCGGATTTCGGAAGGGAGAACCGGTGGTACAACACACCCATCGTCCTTTGTTTCATATGACAGAAGGTGGACGTGGGTATCGAAGGTATCGGCGTAGTATTCGTGAATGATTTTCTCCATTGCCTTTCTGGACGCTGTAACTGTTCCACCTGGGCGTCGGAGTGCAGTTATCTTGACCTTGTAATTGACGAAGCTTCGGTGGACTTTGCGAATGCTTTACCCAGCCTCTGCAACTTCGACCATTACTGTTGCTGATATACAACGAAATAGTAACCCTACGAGATAAGTTTACAAGGAGAACGACGCGCCCACGCGAAACGCTTGGCCAAAACAAAATCCCGTTTATGTTGCCTTTTATAAGCGACGAAGTAAGCGCAGCTATAAAACGATGCTTAAGAAGGGCAGGTCTAGAGGAATCGGTAGCGGTAGTTGAAATACCACCGACTACTCTACGTCGCCAATTAGTTCGCAACCGTCTGTATGACCGTCTGTGTGAAACAACAAATTGCGTAATTTGCCCTTACGGCAGGGACGGTGATTGCATGAGTTCAGGTACGATATACCTGATCTCGTGTAACAATTGCGGAGATGAATATATTGGCGAAACGGGCAGACCTTTGTGTATCCGTATAAAAGAACACCTAGATGGCAAACGAAAACTAAGACGAAGCACCCCACTAGGCACACATAGGATACAAAAGCATAGCGGAGACGATTTTGAAGTGAAAGTCAATATCCTTGCACAGGAGTCCAAAACACCAGCGCGAAAACTAGAGGCTTTTTGGATCAATGCCAAAAACCCTACAATGAATAGCAGGGACGAATGCCCGGAGATCATACGCGACCTGATCCCGTACGTTCGCATCGATTTTTGATGTGGGATGGTGCAGTCGTCAACCACATGCGACTATAATCAGCTGTTCTAAACTTCCTCATTGGAAGTCACGAAAAAGTGGTGGGTTTTTCGAGAAGTTGTTGATCGTGTAGTTACCAAAGAGTCTTTCGTCTTTGAAAAAAAAAAAAAAAAAAATTTGGCCTAGTAGATTGTATATCAGTATACCCTTCCAGGCTCTGAAGAAGGCGATACTGCCGAAACGTCAGCTAGCGTTGTATTGTATTGTGTTTTTATGGAAGTAAATGTATGCTGTTTAAAAACCTCGCGATTGCTGAACAATAAAACAACACATTCATATTCCAATGCCGAGGTTAAGAGAAAGTCGATTTTGGGAATTACTGTTGCTATTCTTTCCTGAAGATCATCTTTTATCGACTGTCTGCATTGTTATGCAAGTTCGGCTGTTAGTACGCAGTGGCCAGCAACTCGCGCGGTTCCACGCTGGCGTATTAGCTCGAGTGTTTCTGGAGACAGAGGCCTCTTGGTGACTTTCGAACTCTCAGCTTTCATAGTACTAACATGAGGATTTTGAATGAGCCGATCGTAGTTTTCGTCGATGTTATCGACAACGGCATTTTGTCAACAGTCGACCAATGAATTGAATAATTCCAAGTTTACGGTGGTTCTGGGACTTCGGTTTTTGAATTTAGCGGCTTTTTCTCCTTTTCGCGAAAAATACAATCTTGCCCGAAGGAGACGATGGTCTGACCCCGCGTAGAATTTTAGGACACCAGCGACATGGGTTAGGCAAAATCTTCTATTTACTATGGTGTGGTCTATTTCGTTATGGTAAACTACATTGCAAGACTCCCACGTCCAGCGTTGATGGTGAGGCTTCCGGAATTGCGAGGTACCATGGATGGTCATGGTCACCATAATAAACTCAGACAGCCGCTCACCATGTTCGTTCCATTCCAATCTGTGGATCCCAATGTGACGTTCTACGGGCGTTCTTCTTGGTCCAACCTTGGCATTAAAATCACCAATTATGACCTTGAAGAATGTATGGTCTTCTCTGTAGAACTTCTCCAAGTCCATATAGAACGCTTCGACTTCTTCTTTGTCATAGTTTGACGTCGGCGCACGAACGACGAAGATTGTCAAAGCCGGCATTCGGATCTATATCTTTTCGACCGTAGACGTCCTATTCGGATTGTAAGTTGTTCGAATGAATCGGTGTTCATGGACAACTCGTGTTGACAAGAACGCCTATGCCACGGACTCCTCTACTGTCGCATGCTCCGATAAACAGTTCTTCTCCGGTGTCATAAGCGGCGTTCAGTGGGTGGCGACGTCTTGTCTCGGCCAGGTCGATGACGTCGTACCTTATCCTTTTTGTTTGCATAAGCAAGTGTTCTATCGAAGACTGGGATGCAAGTGTACGTGCATTGTAAGTACAGATCGTCACCTTAGTTCTTTGTAATACAGGAATCCTCTATTGTCCCTGACATTTTAGCAGCCTCTCCATACTAGTCATACCCAACGCTCCCGAATTGGGGCTCTTTCGGGGTCAGGGTAATGAGGCCCATTTCTTTTACTGTCTTTAGCATTTTGGTACCCACGTATAACTTGCTGAGCTCTGAAGAAGTTGAGTATACCGTCGGATAGCTTAGCAGGCTCTCCCAAAGTGGAGATGGAGGTCGTTTGTTGGAGGCGACTCCTAACCGCCACCCATATACTTCGCTGTCACTTGATTGCACGCTTTTGGCCGAATTGACTCGTAGAATACAATCCGCATAAGCGAGAACGCACCCACACACGCATGCATGAATACGTCTCGTACATATAGAAAGTGTGTACCAAATCGGCGCAGTAGAAACAGGGAGTCCATCCCCTGGATCCATTTGCTTCTCAGGGAAACAAAGGTCGCCTTCGGTCCGCAAATAACCCCCTATCAGCCACCTGGGGACGCGCCACGTAGCCTCGCGACTAACCGGCTCCAGATCCCTCATGTGAGAGAGATCCATGGGAGAATCACGATAAATGTATGAAAATATCATAGATTGATCCGATTGAGCACTGTGACTATTTTCTCATGCAGTTATATTTTGACTACGATTCCCTTTCTAGAATATCACAGACAATTCGCTCAGATTATCCATATAAGCAGTTCTGGTGAGACATAAGGATTGAAACAGAGTCGCACCCACATGGGATACTGGAAATCATTTCTGTGTAATGCACTTTTTCTAGCGAATCTTCTTTCTACATCAAGTTTGTGTTTCCAGCTCCATTGACTATCGTACGCGTTTTAGTCAATGAAAAGTATTTCTAACCAATAAAATTCTTAAATTCTTCTACTGAACGGAGTAGAAAATGAAAAAGATGTAGTTTTCAGCACAAAGTGTTCGGTTTCTGTGTACGAAAGTCATATAAAAATAGTTTCTATCCTTATTTATCGCATAATATTTTGATGTTCAAACGATTGGTAGAAGAAAACTTGTCATTAGGTTCACCATCATGAACTCGTCGCTACGGTAGATGGCATGAAGTAAGTTCATTTTATTTGTTATTTATCTCTTCGCTTTTGCTCATTGTTGCTAATTGTTTGTTGCTTTTCTTTTACAATTACCAAAGTGTACAAAATTACTAAATGCAGCATTACGAGCACTGTAAACTGTTTTTCCTGAAACAACATCCATGTATATATATATATATATATATATATGTATATATATGTATATATATATACATGTAAAGTCACATGAAATACCTTTCCGATACATTCGTGTATTTGAATCGAACCCATGTTGATGAAAGGTATAAGTTGACCGGAATAATCGGAAGAAGATAATGATCGCTCCTCTTAAAAAAAAACATCAAAATGAGAAAAGAGCAGAAGAGGAAAAAAACTTTGCCATGACTATATTTTACCTTTTATATACTGCTCACTCTTTTTCCAGATCAGGGTATTATGTGAAACGCAATCACAAAGACACTGTGATATGAGGTAAACTCAGAACCTCAGGTGGGCTTCGAACCCCCAGTTACCCTCACCTGAGGCTCACGTTTTTTCCACTACACCAGCCGAAGCCATTGTTTTTTTCCTCAGTTAGGGTTTTACACTAACGACGCCGTAAGCAATCACCGTTAACGTGAATAACATAGGTAGCACAAATCGACACTGAACCCCAGTTAATCTGAGGCTGTAGTCGAAATCACATTGTACAACTTTTATCTACTGCTCATTATTTTTTTTTTCATGACAGGGTATGAAGTGAAGTACATCCGCTGTGATTCTTAGATATTTGCAATACGAGGGCTTACGCGTTACGTACGGCACCACTGACGACCTCGTTTTCCCTTCTCTCAGCCGGTCTTTTTACCCTAGCGGTTCTATCAGCAATCACCCCCGGAATGATCTGTGGAGTAGAAATCGGCATTGAATCCAGTTACGTGAAGACTGTTAAGTGAAATCTTTTATGGAAAACAATTCTCACCAAGCCTTAACAGTGTCTCCTCAGTAACTCGACTTGCCCTTCGTGATCCAATACTACTTCGAATAGTTTTTTTACGTTGAAGGATTAACTGTAAATTCAAAATCATCAAGCATAATAAAAGTTTCCTTCAATATTATTGTTAAATGAACTTTTCTCTAAAGAAATTTTTAGGAGTATTTGTCATACGAGACCATTCCTGAGTTTTCTTTTAATCATAAAATGCAACTTTACAGGTTGCTATTTTGACAAGATATCTAGGAATTTCCATGAACAATTGATTAGGAGATTAATTGTACAAAAGAAGAAAAGGATTTTTAACATAAGCCACTTACCTTTGTACAACAATTCTGCATTACTCGTAGTCGTAACATAATTATTAATAATGCAGGTGCTATGAAGAATAATATGAGAAGTGGGGCAATCATCGGCCATGTTATTAAATTATGCCGCCAAACATGAGGCTGAAAGAAGCTATGTGAAAAATTGTTGCTTTCCCGAACATACTATCATGATTACTGTATGACAAACTTTCCAGAATTTCCGGCAGGAGAAAATTATCTGCTTCGTTAAAAAAACGGAAGGATAAAAGCAGCAAAACATGAAACTATGCAAAATTGGTGCTCAGAAAGATGACAAAGAATCCATTGTAAAAGTGATTTCAACAACAATAGCAAAAAATTTACCATGTTGACTTCTCATTTTCGGCCTTTTACAAGTTTTCACGGCAGGGTATTAATTGTGAAACATCCATATTCATGCTGAGATATTTGCAAAACTCCGGACCGTAAGGTCTGCGGTGGGGAACGAATGCGTTATCACGTTTTCCAGGGAGTAACGCATTCACCACCACACTATGGGGGTCCTTCGCTTCGCCTGTCTCTCAGCTAGTTCTATCGATCTTTTGCCATCAGCAATCACCCATCAACGGGATTGAACTGGGGAGCCCAAACCGGTATTGAGCCCAGTTAAGCTGAGGCTATAGCTGAAATTCACAATGTTGACTTTTTTCTTACTACCTTTTGCAAGCTTTCACGGCAGGGTATTATTTGTGAGACAATGATGGCCGTGAACGATAGAACTAGCTGAGAGACAGACGAAACGGAAGACCCCGCATGTGGTGGTGAACGCGTTAGCCTCCTGAAAGGGTAATAGCATATCTCAAAAAGTTTACCGTTACAACTTTCATTCCAAATTATAGTTGCAAGTCTGACAAACTTTCCATCAAATACTTTTCTGATAGATTCAGATGAAAACACAAGCAATAAAATTCAACTCACATAGTTTTCCACATGGTTAATATAGTTATGAAATCGAAAGCAATTAGTTGTGGAACAAATTTCAAACGAATAATTTCCAGTCGGATGATCGACAGGACAAGTAGAACAAGATAACGTGAACATTGAGAACACTCGACGATAGAAGAGTAACTGCCTAAGATAAATTTTTAACGACACGAAGAGGACGTTCTATGGAAAAATGGAAGTGCCAGCTAAATATGGCTAATTTAAATGCTCTGGACGAAATCCAACTTTTCAATTGGCTTCATTTTTTGAAATAAGAGTCTTAACGGAAAAAAGTGAAAGAAATGAAATTTTTAGAGCTTCAGAAGTTTAAAATACTTGGACACTTGGGTGCCTCATTTCCACTGGTTGCGTGGGCTTCAGCATAATTTCCATTGCGCGGAGGCTTGATGATTTAGTGTGTGGTTTCCCGAAGCCTCGGCATCAGCCTAGCTGTAGCCTTCCTTAGGCCGTCACCACCCAAGGCAGTAGCCTCCCTTCTGGGTCAAAGGGAAATTTGCCACCACGCATCTAGTTTTATACGAGGACGGTGGTACTACCGGTTTACTCTTAGCTACGCTTCCTGATGGGAACGCTGGGTTCCTTCTCAGCTTGGGAGACCGTGCCGGGAGAATGAATCTCCCTGCTGTACATCGCAGCCCGAAACCCAGTTAAAATCATCCCAGCCACGATGAGGCGGTGAACCGCTTAGAGGAGAAGATTAAAGTAACTATAAAAAATACTTCCAGAAAATGATTACACGCCTGGCGGTTAGTGGGATATCTTCTGGTAGTTCGCTCAAATTCAATGACTGTACAACCTTACCCATTATCGGGTCGAACAACAAGGCTATCAAAGAATACAACAGCGTTGTCATCAGAAAGTGTTTGTGTTTCAGCTACATCATTCCTTTCAATAGTGAGATTGATGGGAACGATTGGCCAACCATAGATGATGATAAGATGGGAATCCTCTCGGTCCTCAAGACGAGCACGAATCGGAACACGAACCCGAAACTGAAACAGGCTGAGTAGTTTAGTCAACTAAGAACAAAACAACATGAAAACATGATTCTGGCAACCAGTTAAATATGTGAAAACACTTAATTTGTTGGATTGCCTAGGTCTAAATTGTGATAAGGATTGTTCTCTTGCTTTCATTTCTTCTTCTAAATGGACGCGATTAACCAAGTCTAAGTGATGTCACGCAATACACGAATTGTCTATGGTTTAAACCCCGCTCAAAAACGCTTAACCTCCTAAACCTCTGGATGGGCAAGTTGCCACCGGATTTATCGCCTATGAGCTTCCGATCCACAGCCTGGTGGCTGCTCGTGCTAAAAAACTGGCAATACTATCTAAAAGAAAGAAATCTAGGGTCTAGAAGAGGAATCTGAGGATACGAGGAAGAATCAACTCGACCAGCACTTAGTGACATCCACGTAGAAGTTCTTATGTGACAGCCGAATTTACAGTCAAAGCCGAAGGCTTTCCTAGATTACAGATACGAGACAATGGATCGGCAAGTGATGAACTGTTGGGACCCGCACAATATTTGATGGCGACCACTTAAATAAAAAATATGAGTACCCTTTTTTCTAAAACCTATGTGCTGTCTGTTGAACGCAAAAGGATTTAATGTAGTAGATTACTGTCGTCCATTTGTTAACGAAAAATTTGCTGTCAATAATTTTCTACACAACCCAAAATTACGTGTTGGGCCGATCCCAGCACTTCTTAGATCCAATTTGTTAACTTGCATCCATCATTCACGAAAGTTTTCGGGGTTTAAGGTTTGCTGCCTCAGGATTTCTAGTCTTTCTCGTGAACATCGTTGAGCGCTGGTCCAAACTACTCTCCCATAAATCCTCGAATAAGCGCACTAAGGGATTCCCCGATGTTCATCAAAGTCAGGTGCAACCTTCTTTGGATTGGAGGAAACTAGGTGATCCCTAACAAGTCTGTTACAAACTTCCCGATTCCGCTTGGTGAGATTGGGACGGGGTCAAACCAGTGGCTTGCCCAAACTAAATGGCGTCACTACCGATTCGTTAGTAGCGCCATTGTACCAAATATAAATGCGCTAAAACCTATAAAGGACAAAACGTCCAGTTTGGGCTACGCAGTGAGTTACGGAGGTCTCACGATGTCTGAACTCAACCTCGTATGAACTAAACAATCTTAAAAGATATTGATTATTGATGATGATGCTAAACAATGGTTACTTTCGAAAAGTACTGATTTTCTGTTTTAGCTAATATGGCACCGACTACTGCAAGATGGATAAACTTAAAAGATGTGGACTATCTATATGAATTCGAATCATCATTAGTGGACAATCAGCAATAACTGCTCTGTATAAAAGTGGCAAGGCCGAGTGAGATTCTCAGTCCTTCGGTACTGTAGAAAAATCGACTTCACACGACTACGAAGAACCACATAGCGATGACAAATGACCGTGGACAACCGATTCAGATCAGTCGGTTCTACAGCACTCTTGACATTAGCCGGATAAAAACTTCATAACCTCGAGCAAGTTGAATAATCTTAAAAGACGTCGATTATTCGCGCTGAGGTTAAATCATCGTGGATTTTGAAACGTGTTGATTCACAACGTGTTAGCCGATGTACCATTGACTATTGCAGGATGGAATATCTATATGAATTCAAGTAATCAGCAGTAGGCAAACAATAACGACCGTCCTGTATAAAAGAGGTACTGCCACACGATATAGTCAGTCGAGCGGTGTTCAAATGCGGAAGATTTAACTGGATACGACTACGAAAAAGCACACGTTCAGAGGACGAACAGCTGTGGGTAATCCACTCGAAATTATCGACCCTCATGAAGAAATTGTCGAAACATTAAGAGGACGGAGATTTCGTAACAACCTCGTGTAGGCTGACCAATCGTAAAGATTACGATTATTCATGTCGAGGTTAAATATTGATCGGGGAAAGTATGAAACCAGTGTTTTTATCCTCCAATACAAGTTTACTACCAGCTAACGAAGTCACAGTGGATATTTTTTTTCCTTGGAGGCATTGAAGATACCTATATGCCACTGGGGTGCAAGCGCCTTCAATAAAGCCTACACAGTACGTCATATTGTTTACGGAATAACGTTTTGTTTTAGAATTTGAATTAGGAATACGTAATAAAGTTGCAAAACAGTCGGTCTCCGGTGAACTTAGAATGATATTTTCTCCCTTATGACATGACCGCCTTGTCGACTTATTGACCATTCCTTGCAGGTGGCACTCACTCTTGCATTTCGATCAGTATCTTGTGCAACACGTGCAATTAAAAAATTGCGAATTAACACAAATACAGATGAATACGCACCAGCCTTCTTCGGTATCACCACATTTACACTCTAAACTCGTATGTTTTCTTTACGTTCTTATCTTCTTAATTCCACATCTCTGTGAAGCAAAAATTAATGTAGAATTTCATCTTTGATTCGCTAAAGTGGCATATCTCAACTCAGAATAAACCTTGTTGATCGTTAGGGTAGCTATTGGTCTCTTCAGATTTTGTCTTCTTATTCATTTATTTTTTATTTTATTCGATCCATCTTCACGTCTTCTGTGCGGAACTTCCCACATTCGATTCGTTTCCTCGCATCCATTGTCCACAAAGATTTTCCAACTTTACGTATGGCTTCCGTTGTTGCTTGAGGATCTTCATTTCATCTTGAATATTGTAGAATGCTGGCCGAGCAGTTCTCTCTGGAGTCCTGAGATAGTCGAGTCGGAGCATTTCCAACTGGACTGCAGAGAGTGATTTTCTCCCAGACAAGACCGGTGCCAGTTTCCCGGCCCCGGAGAGGTGAGAGGCTTGTTTGGCACAGAGCAGAAAAGAACTAGTATAATGTTCGTGACGACGGGTATCACTACCACTGCGCTATCCGCCCCTTCCAGATTTTCTCTATAAGAAACAAATTTAATTATTCCATAGAAATCTGGAGTTCTGGAAGAAATGAAATTGTTGTATACAGCTTCGGCCTTGACTTGGTTCATGAATTATTTCTGGTATGAGAGGTTGTCAAGAAACTTGCGAAATAGGTTACGGCAGGCGAAAGATCCGGAGAGTGCTGTGGATGAGGCAGAGTATCGTAGCACAGCGGGTCAACCATCGCATGGTCGGTGGTTCGTCGTGTGGTCACGCGCCAGTAGTCAACGTCAAATCGCACGGCGCTTGTCGAGCTTCCTTGAAATTCGTATCTTCTTTAAATGATCCAATAAAGGTGATAGGCTTATATCGTGTTCTTTATCAAATTCTCATACATTTGCCTGCCTCTGTTTCAATCAAACCACTACATTCATCGTCTTCAGTAGCAGTGGGTCCTCCGCTATCTTCCTCATTTTCAATGAATTGGTCACGACGAAACTTTGAAACTAAAGTTACACTGTGCACTCGTTAGCACTTCCTTCGTCCCATACCTCCTTAATATTTCGAGCCGTTTGCGCTGATTACCAACGAGTATTAATTCGTAGAAGTGGATTTTTCGACTCTGTTTGCCTGACATTTCAATTTCTAACCTCCAAAATTTACCAGAAGTACGAATCATATTATAATTCAACTATAAAATGAAAAAGTGCATGGAATGTTCCTTGCTTTTATATATGGCAGCACAGCATTCGAATATCAATCATTGCTAAAACATGCACAGGAAAATGTAATTACAAATCGGACGCCAATTTCCAAACAACTTAATAACAGCATTCAGTGGCAGGTTAGTTAGTTCTGTACCAACAAAACCTTCTGAAGACTGCGAATTTATTTGAGGGGAACGTGTACGTAGTTTGCTACGTTCCACCTTCAGTACCGAAACGATTGCTAATGAGGAAGCAACCGAATCATCGCCATGACAACGCGATGTTCTTTAGCGAACAGAACTTGGAATTCCGTCACGCTTTTGTCTCTTTTCCTCGTTTTGGAAATACATAAAGCTGCTTTAAAATGACTTTTGCACCGCCATATAGAGTATTGCACAAAATGAATGACAATGAAGAAAAATTTAATGCCTAAGAAAACTACCGCAACATCGTGATGTTAGAGGTATAAAAATAACATATAAAAGGAGCACAAACCTCAATCGTTGTCATAAGTGGAAGTTCACAATGCCAACATACGACAACTACAGTGCCGAGCTGTTCTTCAGTGACGACATCAATATCCAACCAAATACGATCTTTAGTGAAGTGTTCAGTAACGTTATATTCCAGGTGAGACATATGCCACGTGAAATACCTTCTAAATGATGACTAATGAAGTGGGAGAACATATGCCCGTACAAACTATTAAATATTAATGTCGCAGTGGTTTGCCGTCCCAGCATGATGCTCATGAGTGGCGAGAGGTGAGCTACAGCAGAAAAAATAATTTGCCCAGCATGATCTTCTAAACTGAGTACTTCAACATTTCCATCTAGAAGCATAGCAAAATTACACGTAAACCACGCCTGAGATTCCGATCCACTGTGCTGACTGGACACCTACCCGAGTTCTCTAATGTATAGTGGAATTCAACCTAGTTTTATCGAATGTGGTTGATGAAACCTCAATCATGATAACCGTTCTACAGAGAAAGTTCGCGGTAACTAGTACTATGCAAAAGGAATCTTCTATATCCTGGCAAAACATTGCTACTCTTATTAAAATTTTCTTTATCACCGTTTTAAATTTCCGTATCACCCAATCCGGCAACAACTTACTTGTTTACAAAAATGTCGAATGTCGGTGCAGAAATGTTCACATCTATTGTAACCGAATCACCAGGAATACACTCAATGTACGGAAGTGTAGTCAGCGTACCCGATATGCAGTGTAAAAATGAGCAGTGGAAGGTGTCGGGTAGAACGGCAAGAACAGAATAAGCTGTCTGAGGCTGCTTAGAGGTTAGCCATCGATTCATACAACTACAGTCTAATGAGCATCCACTTAGATCAACCGTCGGAATTATGCCATTCACATAAAGACTCTGCCACTTTATTTGCGATAGTTCACATCTTGACAGTATAATCTTGTTCACGTGAATAAAATTTTCAAATGCAAACACTGGTATACTGTCTGTGCATTGAATGTCAAGTGTTTCGACAGCAGTTGACGTCACAACGTCTGACGACGTTGAACAATTCTCCAGGCGTAGTGTACGCAAAAAATGAACGGTATCATCGGCATAATGATACGATGCCAAATCTTTGCATACGGCAAGCGATAAATTCGTTTCGAGTTTACATGATTCCGCTCGAACAGTGAGGAATAGCATTAAGAACATAATCCTATGATATGACAGAAGTCATTGAACGATACTAATTTGATGAAATGCTGATGACGTTGAGAAAACCTATTCTAACGTCGGCAGTGCACAGACGAAACTCAAAATACGCCTCCTCCGGCTGAGCTGAAATCGACACATTGGGCGGGGCTTGCCCGTCACTCATTAACCAGCGACCACCTAGGCTACATTCGATATTACGCCTGATTCGAACCAATATACTATTAGAATCCCTGAATAATAGTGATAATACTAATACTACTACTAATAATAATGATAATAATAATGTGACAGTCTATAAATGATGGCCCTAAAGCTAACCGATGGAGCAAAAACCGTGACTGATAAAAACCGTATGATACCATTTAAACCAAATATATTAACATAGGATGTAATTTAACACGATTATCATACTAAGTACAGCCTGCAGCATACCATTACTTATCCCCCGCACTATTTCTATATAATCTCAGTGATCGTATCAGCTCATAAAAATAGTATAGACGATTTTGGAGCCCTACAGCACGTTGTGTGTTGAACGCCGCCACTTGCACGCGATTCCAAAAGACGCGTTCCTAGGTTGCAAATGGGTGTTGCTTACTTACTTGGATAACTGCATGGTTCGCCTTCACTGGTTGTGTGGGTCCCAACATAATTTTCGTTTTTTCGAAGGTTTCCTGGTTTATCCATTGTGGTTCTCCGGAGTCCCGAAGTCAGCCTGGCCAAACTCTGCCCCGGGTGGTCACCACCACAGGCAGTTACCGCCTTCTTGGATCAGAGAGAGATTTGCTACCATACGACTAGTTTGATACCAGGATGGTGGTAGATTCTGGTATTGATTTTGCATTGCAGATAGGATGTCAAACACAAAAACGATGTATTTGCATAAAAATGTGCGCATACTATCACAAATATGTGTGAATCACTGCTTCGATACCTTCAAAAACGAACAAGACTCAGTAACTTTCGTATATTAGAGGTCTCGAAATCAATCACATTTCGGAACAAACGAAACCAAGAAGCTACTTACGTCGTGAGCTCGCGTTCTCATGTTCCAGAGGAGATCTTCGGATATCGAATGGTAACTTGTAAAGTGTACTGATAGGTTACATCAGAAGGCCCAATCAGCACTTTGTAGCTAGTCAGAATGATTCGTTGCGAAAGTATAATACCGTATCTATAACCTTTACCAGTAGCATTAGATTGTCTAGTTTTGGTAATAGTTCCATGTCCACAACAAAACTCGGTAAGCATCCCGTGAACGCGTTTTCTGCAAAGACCGTAGAAAAATAAAAGGAATAAAGTAAAAAGCGTGGTACCATTTTGCACCTTGAGCATGTCTCTTACCCAGTGGACACCACTGGTGAGCGACGGTAACGAACATTGGAGTTTACAAGTCAATTTAAACAAATGGTATAAAATAAAATAAAGTATGTATACAAGTTTTAAGTGTGGCACCGGCTGCTGCTTAAGGATTTTCATTTCATCTTGAGTGTCACAGAATGCTTGTGAAAACGATTCCCATTGTGAGTCCGGAGCTAGCCGGGCTAGAGCGTTCCTATTTTGAATGTAGAAATCAAATGTTGCCTAGACAAGTCCGATACCAATTTCTCAACCCCTAAGGGGAGAGAGTCTCGATGAACCCGGAGTGGAATCGAACCAGCGCTGTGCCCGTGATAATCGAGATCACTACCACCGAGCCTATCCACCTGTTACCTACTGTTTCTCTGAATAAAATATAAACGGGATAAACACAAAACAACAAAAGCAAGATAAATGGAAGAACAGGTAAACAATGAAGTATAAAATAAATAAATGAATGAGTGAATAAGAATTAGAAATGAAAATATGATATGATATGATATGGCACGAAATAGAATAAATACAAAATAAAAATAAAATAGAATAAGCAAAAGTCCTTGACCCATTCAATTTACTCAATGATTTACGATATCACGTATTCGGCGATATTAGGATGATGTAAAGGTAACGCCGAATTTTGTGGTCATAAAAGTTGGCAGCACATCTTACAACAAATACTCATTGCTGACGTTGGTACTGCGTACCATTTTAGAGCTTATTTCTACCTCAACAGTTCACTATGCAGTAATTTTTCTGAAAATAGATTTGCAATGAGCGATTTTTCACCGTTGTAAATCTGGCATAAGAAGAAATGGAAACCGAATCGCTTTGCGTCATTTGTTCAATCTCGGATTCGAAGGTACAAAGCACAGATGGTTTCTAAGGCTTCAAACTATAGATGTGAGCGTTCATGACGGAAAAAGACACGAACGTCAAACAACAGTTGAATATTATCATCTGAAGCCGATAACTGAAGCTCGTTTTCAAAAAACTATTCATGAGGTTATGAAAGGACTCAACAATTACAAGTTAACAACATTCCATCATTTGAAAGAAAACGAAAACGTGAAAAAGCTAAGTGCTCGATGCATGAGTGGAATGAAGAGCAGCGAGATCGAAATCGATGAAATCCCACAAAAATTGCGGCGTACGTATACAGACACAACCAACTGGAAGGATCGAATCCCTTATTGTGTCCGATATGAAAGTTTACTAGTTTTTTTAGCGAAGAAATAAATTTGCAAACATTTTCACCTTCTTGATACCTTCCAGAAGAGTTCTCGAAAGGACCGAGGCCATTGTTAACACAACGGTCGAGATACGTGCCCTAAGTGCATCACGTCACCAAAACAATCTTTTCATCCAGAAGTCTTCATGAGGAAATTGCAAGCCTCCTTAAATGCGGCAATGCTTCGAACAGAATTGTCGGCATCAGCCAGAAAAGGTATAGTTTAATAGCAGTACGAAGTATAAAGTCCGAAGTAAACCCTCGAGATCCACGGTGGGGGCATGCGATATTCTTAAGAGAAGTTATCTCAACAGTTGTTTTCGTAATGTCGAACAGAGATCTGGCATACAACCACTCAATCCAAAGTTCTTGTCGGCGCTCTTGCAACACCAACACCAACACCAACAACATAAGCATAAGCACTAATCGCGACCGTTAGTTATAGATGCGCATTCCTCAATGCATGGAGACACCTACGAAAACCATGCCCTTATAGAACAGGGCGACTGTTTGCATCTTCACAGCATCTGCTTCCTTTCCCGTTTATCTCCGACTCACTTTGCCATGTTACCTAGTACATGTCTGATATTTTCATGATCTTGTCCAATAATTTATTTGCAGAAGGACCAACTGCGACCCTCGACAGCGAACCAGGGTATTGTTAAATAAAAAAGAGCGAAACGCAAGCCATACACACGATACATAACCGATGGTAGGTGTTTCGCTACGTGGCGCACGAAGAAATGTTGGACATAACAGGAAACCGCGCATATATCTAACTCAATAGGATCTACGATGTTGAAAAATTCCTAGCATCATTCTATGCTCCGCCTAGTTCTTATAAGCAACTCATGTTTTCTGATCTCTGCAGATCCAAGTCAAGCACCCTCATGACCTAGGAGGCGTAAACCTTCATAAACTAGATCATCAAACAAAAAATTTCGGAACAAAATTGGTTCTACGACATTGAAGATGAGGGTGTCCAAACCCTAACTTCAAACCGATCCAATGGTGGAGTTTATAATAACTCCACCTATGAGTTTGATAAGAACACTTTATTCAAACAAAAGAAGCAACAAGGTAATGTCTAGGCATCAATTTTCTTAACATGCTTCTTCGATTTTGGTAGACGTGAACGAAAAATAGCAGAAGCACGTCGTTGCGCGAGCTGCAAAGAAAAATTAACACCACCATTTATTTCTTCACATACTTGTGAGGACTCAGAAACAAGTCTGGAAATGAAAACTAAAGAACGTCAAGGAAGTTACACAAACCATGTGAAGGTGACCCAAGCCCTGGCTTTTGGCGATGGCTTTCACAGATCTCAATAATTTCTCGCGATTGCGCAAAGCAATGACACATTTGCTCTTAGCTGGCTTTGCTGCTTTACCTGTAAAACAACATGGATATCCTTCCATTCGCAGAGTTATGGTCAAAATTATGAGCCTCATAGGGTTCTCGATAGCTGAGACTACACCTGACAATATATCTACACCATTCTATATATGTACTTTATTTCAAGATGTTATAGGACATTATTGTCTATTTGATTTATGGAACCGTTCTGTTATCTGCTTCCAACCCAACTGTCTAGGATTCAACTAGCTTTTCATATTTCCACACTTGCCAATAGACCTTCCGGTTTAAAAATCGGTCTTTTCTTCACAGAAATAACTAATCGCACTATATACCGTCACTTGCCTTCAGCTGTTACGATATAGGATTCGAGTTTAACGGACAGGACATTTTACAATGACAAAATAACCCATCAAGTTATAAGCAGAGTCGCTGAAAAAGCTCGCGAAATATCACAGAAAGAGTTTACACGACACCGCTTTCTGTTAAGGCAAACCTAGTCACAAAGACCTTCAAAAAACTAGCTGGTTCTTCTTAAATAACAGCAAGTCTTCTCCATTAAAGCACAATATGCTTGGGTACACATTATACTAAACGGATTATTCTCTGCACACAGGATCGGGTGAGTAACCATCGCAAATGATTTAAGGCAAGAACTGATCATGGCATACGTCGTATTCGTCTATGAAATTGATATTACGACTTTGATTCGAAACAATGGCACTTGTCCCCTTAATTTTGAAAAAAAGCGTGGTGGATGACCAACATATTAGAACACAAAACCTACGTTAATATCATTGGTGAGCTTCAGTACTGAAAAGGAAACATAAAAGGATGAGAGGAAAACCTCTCGACGTTAATCAGGCCCTGTTGGGGAGTCACGTACTCAGCTTCCTAAGAGATCGTTTGAGGTGATCGAATGTCTGGTCTATACAATGACTTCGTGTGGCCTACCGATACAAGTCGGTATTGCTATTCTCCCTGAGAAGTTTGGTAGCAATTTGTCGTGCCCGAAGGGATAGAAGGCTTGGGTGAGCTCGGGGAACGCGATTAAACGAAAGATCACATGCTTATTGCACGATACCATTACATTAAAAAATGCGCTAAAGAACCTATACTTGTATATGGGCATAAAAATATGAAATCTGTAAAAATTTAAAAAACTATCCATATTTTGCTCACTGAAGAAATCTCAAACAGGATTATAGGGTGCTGAGTGGATGGTTATATGCAAAAAAAACGACCTTCTCCGCGACGAAGATGGATAGACGTCTTCCTGCGTTGATCGTGCGGACTAATTACATACTGCATACATCATCATACTCATAAATAAATCGTATGCGTTCTTGTGTATAAGCAAATGCATGCACCATGTCAAGTTGCACACATGCTAGCTACCAAGAGCATAGGGAGGCTGCTCGAACACTACTCAAAAAAATGAGACCTTCTACTAGGATGCAACCCGTTAGGTTTACGCACTTCTCTATCATATCATCTATTCATATCACTACATAGTGGGTCATCCTTGGGTACGTACTGGCAAAATCCAGTAAAAATGTAAACCGTCGTACGAAAACTGTCATGCTTCTCGTATTGCTAAGGCAAAGCATACACTGAGTAGTTTCAGCGCGATACAGAAGATACTACGGATTTTTACATCTGTCAAGATTCACTTCATGATTAGGAAGATCATGGAACTCGAAATGTTGCCCAATTAGACTTCTACTGCAAAAGATGGCGCCAGTCCTCCGAGAATAAACAAACGGTCTTGCAGCAAATTCACGCAGACAATCCAGTGGAAAGGAAGATCGACCAGTTAGCTTTCGGTAACAAGCGTCTCAAATGCTTGGTGTAACTGACTCGTGTCCTGATTCTCTGGTACGTACCACACCAAACAAACACTTAATGCAGAGTGAACTATGCATGGAAAAAATGTAGAGACAGGTAGTAGGAGTAGTGAGCACGAAAAGAAATTGCACTCTGAGCGATGAGGTCGCACGAAACGCATCAACTGACAACTAAGCAATTAAGCTTGTGTTCTCCATTACACTCTCCATGTTAAACCGGTGGGAAAGAGGACGATCCGCAAAACTCATTTTCGTTATTTACGAAGTAAATCACGAAAAGTCTAGCTGTTTGCAGTTGTTAATATGTTGATAACGGAGAAAATCTTAAAAAAAACGTACTTGGAATCTTCAGTCTCACTGTGACACCAGGGCCTTCCTTAAAGGGCTTCAGATCCATAGCCCGCTTGCTGATGAGACCATTGTATCGACGGCTGTTGATGCCACGAAGGTTGAACGGCTCAACAGAAAAATGCTTCTTGATGCCTTTCTGACGACGGAGGAAACAGGAATTCTTGCGAATGATTTGCCACGTAAGATCTGCAGACATTCTTACCTAAATGTAAACTTTTAATGTTTAGGACTGACGAACAGGATAAAAGCATTACATTTACAGTTATTTCGCAAATTTGGAACGAGAAACTCAGCACAGCACATTAATTCTCTTGGCAATCAGGGTACATATTACATCCGACATTGGCATAGAATGGACTTTAACACGAACCAGATCTCTACGAAAACAGTAAAGGTAAACGTTAGAAAATGCCGTAGCACACGTGGAAGCTTTAGGATTCCAAACAGTTTAAAGGACGCCAGATCATTATTCCATACAGGACCCACCTATGTCGAGATAATGCTGTTTGTCTGAACCCTAATTATCACTCAACGGCGGTTATACTGGTCAATTAGTGGTTATATTTGCATTAATTATTATGGCATAATGAGAAGAAGTACAATGAAATACGCCAGAACAGAGCCTATTTAGCCGTGGACGCATGCGGATACGTCCCGAGAACGGTCGGTGGAGACGCGGTCGCATTACGATCCGTAGCGGGCATTTCTAGGTGAGTGTAACTTTCGTAATGTTATAGTACAATATTTAAGTGTTACGTTATGTTATGGGCGGTATTATTAAGTAAGTTGAATGTTTTTACGGTGAAATCGCCTTTTTCGATTTATGTGAATGGGAAGTTCATAAAAATACTTCTTTATAAGAGCGCCAGACTTATACGGAGACATTCGTTTTGGAGGCTGCACCATTCAACACTAGGTTCATTTCATTGCTAATGAACAGACCATGTGATTTTTGCTGGTCTTTTATATTCTATGGCAGAAATATGAACAACAGGCACTGAAGCATAGCAGTATTCCGGGGCAAACGAAGGAAAATGTGGCATAAACAAAGGAAGAACAGATTAATTTTGAGGCGGACTTTAAACAACGACAGAGAGGGGGAGGTGTAGTAATGTGGTTTATCTAATATGTATGTAATAGTGTAATGAATATTCATAGAAGCTTTAAGCTAAGCTTCTAGTCATAGTTTAATTCTGGAACTAATATAAAACACAGTGAAATATTATCCACTTGCTTTCTTCACAACGCATTCCTACTTCAATACGAAAATTTATCATAAATCGACGAAAAGAAACTATTATAACGGTCGGAAAGCGGCCCTTATTTTGCAGTACTGTGTTTGCAAGCGCGCTTCGTCGCTAAATTTGAGCGCTGTTGAGAATTAAGGCAGTGCTAGTGCCAACACACAAGCGATAACACATAAAACACTGTTCACGTGCTTGCCTTCCTCGTTGGTTCCAACGAGTTTTAGTGGATAACTTGTATACTCCGGATTACGATAACTAGAATTTCTTAGAAGAGCTTGTCAGTAGCGAAAAACGCCTTTGGCAATCGAATAGTAGTGAGTTCAGAGTGAACGAATCACCTTTTGCCTTGTATTCTTCATTTGTTTTCAGCTACACATAGATTTCTGAGGTTCACGTTTTGGCAGCATATGTTTCCATTTGCTGGTAGTTGCTATCTATTCACTGACTTAACGTTACTTGTTGAAAATTCTCTCTTGATCCCTATCGCAGACGTAGATATGTCCTTTCAGAAGACGAGTGGGTCTGAACATTAGCACGACGAATCGTCGCGTTCATTTTTGCGGTTACTAGAGTGATTAACTTGGTAATCGGGGTATTTAGTACATTGTACTATACATATCTTCCCAATGGTTTACCATCTCATCGTGACTGGAAGGTGTTTTTGGGTGTCGGGCTGTGATGTGCAGCTGGGGGTTTCAGCTTACACCCCAGCTGAGTTTCTCAAGCTGAGAAGGAGTCCGGCGTTTCCATCAGGAAGTCCAACTAAGAATAAACCAGTGCCGGGATCTACCACTGTCTTGGTTTCAAACTACTCGCATGGTGACAAATTTCCCTCTGTTGCACAAGCCCGACAACTACCTGTGCTGGTGACGACGTGGAGCAGATTTTAACCTGACTGATCTTGGTACACCAGCGAACCACAACGGCTAAACCATCGAAATTCCAAAAAATATAGAAATTACGCTGGGGACCGCACAATTAGTGAAGATGGGCCATCCTAGTATCAGAGTGACTAAGTACTATGTATTCTTTCTTTGATGAGCTTACACGAGGTTGATAATTATATTTATTTATTTTCGGCTAACGTTTCGACTTCTTCGTCTTCCTCAGAGCCGATGATCCGTGTCGATAGTCCATGCTTGTTGTTCGTCTCGACGTTGCAGCTTCGCCTCGAATCATTCGAGAAGATGGCTCACTGAGGAAGACCTGACTCAACACGAAGGCGAAGCTGCAACGTCGAGACGAACAACAAGCATGGACTATCGACTCGGATCATCAGCTCTGAGGAAGACGAAGACGTCGAAACGTTAGCCGAAAATAAATAAATATAATTATCAACCTCGTGTAAGCTCATCAAAGAAAGGATACACATTGATTAGTGATACCGAGGTTCAAGGAAAGTCGGTTTCGAAATATAAGTACTGTGTTTTCAAATTTTGTATTATTAGAGATTTTCATTGTGACTGTTCTCGCTTCTATTGCTTAAATCGCTTATAGCTGCTCTGACTAATATTAAAATGTTATCTGAAAGCCTTTTCTTCTTTTTATGTGCATTCCTGTTATGAGAATGAGGAGGATGATCCTTAGAATTTCTTTTCCTTTACTCGTCCACTCTTTTCGTAAACTTAAAGTTCACAGTGGGAAGAAAACGAAGTGAGCGAACAAATGCACCAAATACCAAATATCCAGAGAATAATCTGAGCTCGAACACTGCATTTCTCGATGTGGATCGTGTATGATTTTTGAAAATAATGTGGGTTTTCCGGCGAATCTGTAGTGAGTATTTCTCCTGGACTTACCAGTTTTCTCTTTTGTGGAGTTTCATATTCAATCCTTATCAGAATGTTATTTCCTGTATTTTGTTCTTTAAATTAAAGTATTTTCTAAATCTGCATGATGACAAAGGGCGAATATGGCGCAGTGGTTGAAGGCGCCCTGCGACACACACTAGGTATCGATCCCTGCGTCGGTGATTCACCAAAGCTCGCATCCCTCCAGATTTTTGTGCGAGAATAGCAGCATTGGTTCAATAGATTGGTAGGCCACCACTAGTCATTGTAAGGGCCAGATATGCATTCAGTGACCTCCAATGACTCTTAACGAAGTCGAATGCATATCACATCCCTCAGGTACTGATCAATGCAGAGAGCTTTATTCTTTATTTATTTCACATAATGGCATCTATACATATAGTCAAAAAGGCAAGTAAATATGTAATTATGAAACTGTTTAAAGAATTCGTCACTTGTGTAACATGCTAATCAGCAATGCAGTAATCAGAATGCTAATACTTAAAAGCTTATTCCTATTGAACTAGTAAATACCTTTACTTTTTTCTACGGAAGAGTGCACGACATGAAAATCAGTCAAGCATTCTGAGCTCGAGGAAGATTTGAGCAGCTGTTTTCTCATCTTCATTATCATTTAAGATCAACTCGTTTCAGCTCACGCACGAGGGGTGGACGTTTCATTGTCTGTTCAATTTCAGAATTTCCTAATATGAATACTAACGGGGTTAATACTATCTACTTTTCCATCTAATTTTCCATTCCTATGCACCGTCTGTGAAGAGCGCGTGTGGCGCAGTGGTCGGAGGCGACCTGCAATGCACATGGGATCGATTGCCAACTCCACAGCCCACCAAACCCTCCATCCCTCCGGGGTCGGCAATTTGGTAGCAAACTTGTCTGGGAGGATAGCAACACTGGCTCGATATGTAGGTAGGCCACCGAGAGTCATTGTCAAGGCCACATATACATTCAAAGACCTCCAACGATGCTTAATGAAGTCGAATGCATAGCGCATCCCTCAGGAATTGATCAACGCCGAGAGCTTTATCATCTATCCTTTTTTATGCATCAACTATAATCCAGGTAGTGGCCGAGTGCTTCAATTAGGTATGCATAAGTTCCATGTCAGGCTGAATGTAATTATGGTTACGGTTTTATGCTATTCCCATGGAAACACGATTTTTTGCTGGAGACGACCTCGAGTGTCTCCTGCATAGTCGGCAGGCACTGGATAATAGGCTCTTGACCAGTTCGACGTGCAGAACACAATCCGCAAAGGTAGGCATACGCATTTAAGCAAATTTCGCGTGTTCACGTAAATCTCTACGTATATTGAGAAGGTAGAAGTAAGTCGGGCGCTGTAGAAATGAGGACCTTACCAGCGAAATCTATCTTTATCTCAGAACAATTACAAGGTCGCCTTCGTTCATCGCTTAACACCATATCAATCACCTGAATGCGTTCCATGTCGCATCCTGACTAACCAACCCGATGTTCCTTGTATAGGGGAGATCCGTAACGATTATTCAGTGCATTTTTTTAGTATCTTCTACACATATGCTGTGGCCGTTGAGGTAGGAAATGTTTATGACTGCACTTTTTCTCTGCACTGTTTCTGTTTTCTTCATGCGAGGCGTTTAGTATTTTCTTTCTCGGTTTACGTCCAGTACTCGTTCGGGAGCGTGTAGCTCAATATGCGATAAAGTTTAAATCAGTAGTTTTTGGTGGATGATTTATCATATTTGCTTCTTATAGGCTTTCTTGGATGATGAGGATTCGGCTTTTGCATTCAAGCCAACTCGTGTGATTCCAGTAATGCCACGTGTGGTACGAATGTTCTTATTGCTCTTTTATTGAATGCTTTGGTAAATCTATCCATATTAATATATCATTGTTATTTTAGGACCACGTAAGTCATTGCACTCATCTCGACTCCGTTGGAAAATTAACCCGAGAGCAAGTACATTCTGCTGTGCAAGTAATTTCCTAATGTCTTTGCAATTGGATATACGTCTACTTTTCTTAACAGTTTACGTATTTTATTTTAAGTGTCTTGATGTACAGAGAAAAGTTGACTGAAATGTTTAATTCATCATGAACTTGTTATTTTATTCATAACATAATCGCGACAACCTTTAGTTCGAAGCACCCAATTCTCTTCGTTTATAAAGATGTAACCCATCAACAGTCCAGAAGTTCGTCGTAGTTAAGGAGTGCTTCTGGGTGTCGAACTGCGATGTGGAGCTTCGGTCCATCCCCTAACACAGATTTCCAATCTGAGAACAAGTTCGAGACAAATTGACTTCCATCTGGAACCGCGGAAGAGAGTAATGGTAGAGTCTCTGCTTTCTTGGCAGCAACGTAGTTGCAAGATGGCAACTTTAGTGTGAATCACATGGCATGGCGATCACCTATATGACGGTCCGCGAAATCCCTGGCACGTTTACCGCCACACGTCAAAGATAAAATTTTGCTGATCCTGTAATCGAAGGAAAAGTTTTCTTTTTTGTTGCTTGTTCACGACCCTGTTTGTAATAAGGATATTATGTGCACAAATACTTTGCGTTGATCGGAAATTAATGCAGGACTTGTGATTTTTCTTGAAAATGTATTACCAATTATTTCTTCGCTAATTCTTTATTGCTGTATAACAATCCAAAGCGTGGTTTGTGCGCTTTGCTTCTCTCTAGTTGAATTATAGCATGATTTGTGTTTCTGGCAAATTTTGCAGCAGCTCATGAACTAAGTTATCAAAACAGCATTTTAGACAAATTCACCGTTACGAATTCTAAGTCGGACGTAGTGCATCGCTAATGGCTCCAAACATTTATGGGGTGTGGGGCCAAAGAGATGCTAACGAAAGCACACTGCGGCCTTGGTTTGGAAAATTTCGTCGCGACGATTTCGTTGAAGATGAGGAAGGTCGCGAACGTCCTTTTGCTATTGACAATGATAAACTGAAGGCTTTGATGAAAACGGATACACGCACAACTTCGAAAATATGCAGAAAAACCTTGTTAATGCATCACATCTGGTTTTTCTACAGGAGATTAAAAAACTAATAAACGTCGACAAATGGATGCCCTTCGAATTGAATGACAATCGAAGAAGTCACTACTTCGAGGGTTCATCAAAGCTTCTTTTGCGCTACCAGAACGACTCGTTCCTCGACTATATTGTGACGTGAAAGGGAAATTGTTATTACACGATAACCGGGAACGATCGGCTCAGTGCTTGGACAGGGATGAAGCTGTGCTGCACTCTCAAATCCGAAATTACCACTAAGGGTCACAGTAGCCGATTAGTGGTCTGCCTCTAGTTTGATCCGTCACGGCTTCCTGAACCGTGTGAAACGAAATGGCGACAAAGTAGGTCCACGAAATTGACAAACTGCACCACAAATGTCAACGTCTGTACCCGATATTGGTCATTGGAAAGTAACTAATCGTTCTCAACAAGGGCGAATAGCCATACTTTGCGAGACCGACGCTCCAACATTGAAGGATCTGGGCTACGAAACTCTGACATCCACCGTGCTCGCCGAACTTCTTGTCTACCAAATACCACTTCAAGCATCTCGAAATCTTCCTGTGCGAGCAGTGCTTCAGGATCTAAAGGCCGAAGTCGAAAATGCTTCCAATGACTTCATCGCTTCCAGAGACCCATTTTTCTCAGCTGGTGTAAATAAACATGTTCCTCATTGGCAAAAATTTGGGTACTAAGATGGTTTACATTTCGATAAATTTTACTCTTAGCTAATATATGCCACTTTAGAAATGCACGTTGAAATCCTATTCTGAGAAACCTACAATGATGAACAAATTTGATCGATCTCTAGCAAATGATCACAGCATAAGTATTCGTGGTATATACGTGCATATGTATACATATACATATACACGCGTACACATGTATATATAAATTTACGTGTTCGTGCATGTATATATATATATATAATATATATATGTATATATATATATATATATGTATACGTATATACACATCTATGTATACATATTTTCATTTTTCTTCAGCTACAATGTTGCATTTGTGCCAATGTTGGTTCCAAAGTCACGGCCCGGTGGTTCTGTCTCCATGAGGAGTGCCTAAAGGCAGAAAGATTAACCACATTGTGCGGATCACACCGCGGAGAGAATCGCCACGCTTCTGCTCATTTTGAGGTGGTATAAGTATCTTCTCTACTTTATGTACTTCGTAGCAAAGCCCATATTCCAGGCCCATCCCAATCACTGTATTTTATGTAATTTGCGGAACAGTCGGTTGTGTTGCATGAAATGTGCTGCCGAAATCTACAAGGATTCGAATATTCCCCCTATGGATGTTGAGGTTTGTGTTTTCCTTCGAGCGCTTAAATGTTTCTCAAGTGGTACGTATTGGATTTTTCACAGATATTGGAAGTTTACAGTATTTTATGTAAAGCTGCTGTGTAAATTGAATAAGTAGTTGAATTAAATGAGGTAAACGGAGATGAATACATGAATACCTATTATTATGTAGGGTCATTCTTCCCATATTTTTCGCTTGTGTATGCTACATCGTACAGAGTAGCATTCAAAATATAATTTTTTCATGGAGTACTTGTTCATGAAAGGCAACAAATTCACTACATGCTTTCATTCCGTACTTTTTCCTCTAAGCAAGCCTCTTTAGTTGTTGCTGGAAATTGCTTGGTCAGCAATTATTCGCCAAGTTGTTACTGCCAGTTTTTTTAGATACGACGTGCACTGATGCCACTGGAACGCTGTAATGCGCAGTCATCAAGCACAGCGTCTACTAAAGTAGCTAACAAAAAAGATTTGGCACATGATCGCCAGGTTTGTAGTGTTTCCTATTACTACAGAGCATAAACAAATTCTGTTTCGTTTTCACACATTGTCTGCATATTTTCAATAATACAACCTGAACGAAAGGAGCGTGTATTGCAATGGGTAGAAGTGCCCTGCAATACACATGGGCTAGATCCCCTGCCACAGGGTCACCATGCCTTCTATCTCTCCGGGCTCGGAAAATTAGGACCAGACATTTCTGGGAGGTTAGCAACACAACACAACAAGCAACGCGATGCATCGATAGGCCACCGCGAGTTAGTCATTGTATAAGCTAAATATGCATTCAGTCACCTCTAACGATGCTTCATGAAGTCGAATGCTTGGAGCACCATTCAGTAATTAACCAACTGCTAGAGTTTTATAATTTTACCCTTTACAACGTGAACTCTAATTGATCATGTAATAACTTGAGGGGCAAATAGAGAACTTCATTTGCACCTGTCGCCCACTAAGACTATTTAGTGGGCTCAACGTGGCAACCGCTATCCGTTGAAACTTATTGTTTTCATATAATGGTAATTTTAGATAAATCTAGTTTTAGCTTTATCTAGCTTGAGTCCTTTTTTCTTTATGGTTGTGTTTTTGAAGGCTGCACAAACACGTGGACGATCTATTGGAAGCTTTGCAGTAATAAATCGACCATTAGTCAAGGATGTGGACAATGATTTCGATCTAGATTTTCCCAAAGGTTAGGTTTCTTCAAAATCAGTTTGTTTCATTTTGCGTTTAATTTTTGGTTTGTTATTCAACTTGTTAGACCTATTCTTGAAGTTACTGGCTTGCTATTTTATTAGCCTATACCTCATTTTTATTAGTTTCGTCTTAGTTCGCTTCCGAAACTTTGAAAAAAAATTGAGGTTTTCCATCTGAAATGTTCAGTTAGTCCAAACTCTTAGTTTACTTCAAATCCGGTTGTAAAGAGTTGGAGTCGTTCTGACTTTTGTAACGTCGTTAGTTACAGGTCTAACTGGTTTGTACAACTTGGGTAATACCTGCTATTTCAATGCTTCCATCCAAGTTTTATCCAACTGTCCTCCATTTTCGGACTATTTTCGTGACAAGGTTCGTTTATACTTCGTGTGTTGCACTTCGTCTTTGATAGTTTCTGAACATCGTGTAATATCGACAGCGGTACTGATAGACTAGACGTTAAATTATTACTCTTGCATGTACTCACCTTTCTCAATGTTTTATGTTATTATTATGGTACACCTCCCAACGGTTTACCGCCTCATCGTGGCTAGAAGGTGTTCATGGGTGTTGGGCTGCGATGGACAGCGGGGATTCATCCCTCCAGCAGGGTCTCCTAAGCTGAAAGGAATCCGGCGTTTCCATCAGGAAGATTGTAGTAAAAGTTTTCTTATAGAGCTGCTTACAGCTACTTATAGAAACGGGGAATCTCTATGAAAATATGTTAATTATTAGCCTGCCGAATATGAGTAGTAGCACCATTTTATGAACCACGGCATATCGCATTCAATACCTCGCGTTATTGATAAGCATACACGTGGTTGTTACAATCCTTATTATGGCTAACGTTTTTGCCGTTTTGCTTCATCACAGATATAGTGATTCGAGTTAAGTGTCTAAAGCAATTCTTTCTTTTCACGAAGTTGCACTTTGTATTTGTCGCACCGAGATAAATCTAATTGCGTGGGAGACAGCACGAATGACGTCGTGTCACTCAACATCTCTTAAAGCGAGACATTAATTATCCACGGCGAGGTTCAGTGAAAGGTGGTAGTGAAAGGTGGTGGAAATGTTTTTCTATGTGCAAGCTAATATTAATCCGACTGCTACAAGATTGAGTATCGCCATAAAAGAAGCACTTCTGCTTTCTAATCGACGACTGACCGTATTGTGTACTGCAGAAATGCAAGGTCATTTGAATTCACCTTAGCGTGGCTAGAGTCCTCCTTAAGGCACAAATGCAACTTCATTTGGGAAAACCTTTAATGTAGCCGATCGGTCTCGCTGTGACGGCTACGAAGACGAGTATTGCAGAAAAAAAGACAGGTGTGAGCCCTCTAATCAATATAGCATTACTCTGAAAAAGGCAAAATTACCGAAATATTAACCGTAATGAAACTTTGTAACAACGTCGCTTAAGCTTATCAATAAAACGAGGCATCATCTTAAATTACGTTCGGGTTTAAGCTGTGTTCTGCTCTCACTTCGGTCACAACGCATGTTTTCTCGGAACAGGCTAATTGAATGAAGCGATATATCTGTCCTCCCAACGCTTTACAGCTTCATCGCGGCTGGGAGGTGTTCCTGGGTGTCGTGCAACGATGTATAGCCGGCGGTTCATCTCTCAGCAGGGTCTCCCAAGCTGAGAAGGAGTCTGACGTTTCCATCAGGAAATCCAGCTAAGAATAAATTAGTACCAGGAACCACCACTGTCCTGGTATGAGACTATTCGCATGGTGGAAAATTTCCCTATAATTCACAAGGGCGGCGACTGTCTGTGGTAGTGACTACCTGGGGCAGACTTTGGCAAGGCTGACCTCGGGAACATAAGGATCCATAATTGCCGAACGAGCAAATATCGGAAATGGAATTATGCTGTGGACCACACAACCAGTGAAGAGGGGTCATGGAATTACCTAAGTAAGCATGGTATATCTGGTTGAGTTTAAAAATAACTAGGTCAAGAAGTGGCATAAATACCACTGTTTTCCATCTTTTTCTTACGATTCCATTGTATCACCACAGTGAGAAGATGTTTCGAGGTATCAAATTGAAAACAGCAGATATCATATCATTCACACGGCCATTAGAAGAGTTTGACTTATCTGATCGAAACAAGATTGACATAACAGCGGGAAATTCGCAGCAGCATAAGCAGAACTGTGGCCAAAACTACGGAAGTTCTTTCCGTATTCACATAGACCGGTAACTGTTTCTGGTAGACACGATGTACATGAGTCTGGAAATGGCAAATTAGCATGTAATCTAGCGAACAAAGCATTTTCGTTGTCCAAGCAGAAGAAGCTCGGTATCTGAATTCCATTCGCATAGTAAGGTTCTCTCAAAAACTCACCGTTTCATTCGTTGTACATGCTCCACTTATTTTTGGAGACCAGCAGCAGAAGTTCTTATAAGGATGAGGAAAGACCCTGGTTCACCTGTATCACCTGCAGTCCCGGTGGTCGTCGAGTGACTCGAGCGGGCGCCAGTAAATTTTCCATTTTTTCCTATCGCGTGCAAGAGTAGCCCACTGGGTTCTGCTCGCTCTAGAGACTTGTTGGACATCATACCTTTCATTTAGGTTCCTCGCGAAGAAGTCTGGCCACTGGGTCGGTGGTCTTCCAGCAGCGAGTTTAACGTCCCGAGGAATCCAGTCACTAACAGCTCTTGTACATCGGTTGTCGTTCACACGCATTACTTGTTCGGCACACCTTATATTCGATTGTTTACCGTACAGAACGGCATCTTTCATTTCTCGTCGTTGACGCAGGTCGGAGTTTCGGATTCCTTCTCTTACTTATGTGATAAGGGATACTCATGCCGTCATCTTTTCGACTTCGCGTTCAATAACGCTGAGCGATCTTTTATCCTGCTTACGCAGCTACCAGGATTCTGACGCATACGTTAAGGCAGGAAGTACCGTTGGGTCGAAAAGGTGGTTTTCCTGGGCGTTTGGGTGCGATGTACAGCGAGAGGATTCTTCCCCAGACAGGGTTTCCCAAGCTGAGAAGGAGTCCGGAGTTTTCATCAGGAACCCTAGCTAAGAGAAAACCAATACGAGGACCTAACACCGTGCTGGTATCAAACTACTCGCATGGTGGCAAATCTTCTGATCCACAAGGGTGACGACTGCCTGTGGTGGTGACGACCTGGGACAGACTATGGGCCGGCTGGGCTCGGGGCTCCAGGAAAACAATGGCTAAACTATCAAGGTTCCGAAATGTGGAGATTGTGCTGACGCCCGCACAACCAGTGAGGACGAGCCGTCCTAATATCGAAGTAAGATTATGTGACAATAGTTACAAACTGTGTCTTCGCAGGTTGTAATGAATTGCTGACTTGTTGGAAAACCAGTGTTAGAAGACATGTAGAATATGCCACTCGTTTACAGAACTCTGCTTTGACGATATGTTCTCCTTCCTTACATTTGCTTTTGTTATTAACTACTTGACCTCTAAGTTCTTTTCATCATACTTCCTTCATTAATGATGTACATGTGCAATTATGGCACAGAATGGTTAAAATCTGTTTATAACCTGCCTTTTCTGAGTCCATAGTAAATCGATTACTTGGATCCAAGAAAGATTTTGTTACGCCTGTTTCCACGCTTATCATATTTCCAGTCTTTACTGGACACTCAATATTTACATACTGCATATTTTAGAAAATAACCTGGTAGTCAATAGAGAAATTTTGACTTAGGAAGATCTACGTCCGTATGCTACTCATGAACCGCTTGTGGCTCACACGATGGTACAGTTAATCCAAAAGCTGTGGAGCGCTAAACGTGAGCCAGCTGTCTTTCCCAAGGCGTTGCTAGCTGTAGGTTTCTTAAGTTTCCTTTTTTCTACTCTTTATAAATCATTTGATTATATAGCTTTAATATTCATTTTACCCCTAAGCGCTGATGTCCAATTTGACCTAAATTTTGCGTAATGCTAATATGATTTTTGAGCGAGTTCGTGACAGTTATCCTCAGTTTCGTGGATGGATTCAACAGGATGCTCAAGAGCTAATTCGCTGCCTTTTGGAATTGCTTCACAGGTGCAGTGGTTCGTTTGATTTCTTGCGAGTACCGACAAAAAATTGAGGCGATTTCCAGCGAGCTTGCTCAACCGGTTTATGACTATGAAGATTATTCTGTGCTTACACCAAGAGATCTAGAAAGGCAGAACTCTACGAGCTCTAATGGAAGTGATCAGTTAGTCATAGTCGGCTTGAAAATATTTCAACTACGGTCAGAAAACGGTCACTGTTCTTTTAGTGATTGGAATTACGTTAAGTCAGAGCAGTTTTTTTCTCTGTGTAAATTACGATTGTAGTGAATTTTTTTTCATGACTAAATCCCAAGTGAGGGTTACCATGGGTCTGACATCTCATCTTCGCGTTTTTAATGTTAAGCTTTTTGAATGGATTATTTGGTATAACACCTGTTTCACAATGGAATGCTATCACCCTCCCTTCCTTTAATCCCTCGAGCGCTCTGTCTTGGTTGTTCCGTCTAATTTATGAGTTTTCAAATTTAGGTTTGAGACTGCAGATAGTGGGTGGAGTTCTGATGGCGACACAACGTGTACTTCAACAGGTTCTCGTGCAAGTGCTTCCACTCATTCTGAAAAGTGTAAGTTTTTCCATTATGAGCAAGTATATCTATACATCTACAATTAACCTTGAATTTTTTTTCCAGCAGCAAAGGCATTCAGTCTCCCGTTACGTTGGCGGTCGATAGTAACTGACGTTTTCGACGGGACCATAGAAAGCTGTGTTACTTGTCTTACATGTAGAAATGTGTCAATAACAACGGAGACTTTCCAAGTATTCGATCACGCGACTTGAATTGATTTAGTTGATCTGTTCCGCTTTGGATTTCATTTCAACTTCAACTTTGATTTGTAGAAACACGAAATCTGTGGTTGATTTATATCGATAAGCATATAGAGTGCATACTGCTGTCCCTTTCAGGACTTGTCTCTTCCCATCCCATCGGCAGAGCATTTGTCGCGAATTCGGCAATGCAGTAGCGGAGATTCGGAAAGTGGAGACGGAATAGGGAGCGAGTCCAGTGAAGGCTATAGGGTTTGCTAGATTCATTTGTTCATTAACCGCAAGAAGAAATTATTCTATTGAAGGACATTTTGATTAGCTATTTGTATGATGAAACTACTAGATTTTTGGCCGGTATCACAAAGATGCGTCGACATCTAGGGAATTACGCCCTCATTGCAGGAGGCTATTTGCACCTGCCTGTAAGTTTTACCTTCCGTGAAAAAGGACGGATGGGAGTGGAGCTTTTGAGTTATAAGACAATATTATACTCGTCTTTGTTTATCACTTCTTACTGTTTTCCAACTTAATATAGAGCAGTACCCGAAATGCTCTTCTCTGTTTACTTTTTTAAGGCATGAAAATGATTCAAGACGATCTTGTGTAGAACTATCTAAAAAGTGTAGTAGCAGTTAGCTTTGAATACAAGCTTTATGAAAAATTGACTAGTAGGGAGTTTGGAGTTTGGTCTTGCTGGGGATCACTTAGAAATTTCACGACTTTAGAAGATAGCGAACAGTTACACCAGGTCAGTGCTACAAAGTTGGTTTTAAAGTACTAGTGGCAGAGGAGACTTTGTTGTTCAATATGAGTTACAGACGTACTTAGATGTTGCATACAGCTCTTCTGTTTTCCTTTTTTACATTGGTGCTTTTCAGCCATGGTTTTCTTGGCTTCGATCGCTAAGTGGTATATTTATGACACCGTCCGTTTCACTTGAGGATTGTTTTTCTGCTTTCTTCTCACCTGATCGCCTTGTTGGGGACGACATGTATTCATGCGACAGATGTAAGAAGTGGGAATTTTCTAGTCATGGTAGAAGTTTTGAGAATTTTGAGCCACTAGCTTATTTTGACTTTACCGAGGAGTTGCGTTTTTAATCCCTTCACAAACATTTCTGTAACATTCTCCGTTAAATGGTCTTCATCTCTGGATTTCTCTTTACCTTTTGCACCTTGTTTTTATCTATTTTCGTTTCCCCTTCTCCATAGCTGTCAAAGAATGTGCTACGGTATATTTCAATCGAAAAGAAAGTTGAGGGCAGTACATCAGACAATCGTTTTCAACTGCTTCGTAGTTGGTGTTAGGTTTTAAACCAGTTCTCATACTCATTTCTGTCCATATGCTCATAGGCTCAGAAACGGTGTGAAAATCTGTCGCATCAGCCGTCTTCCTGAAGTGTTGTGTGTACACATTAAAAGATTTCGACACGATTCCTATTGCAGCTCAAAGGTAAGCATAGTATTCTAATTGCATATCGGATTTTTACATCTTAGTGAATAAAGATTTCCTCTCTACCTTAAACCGTTATTATTTTTAGATATCCACCCGAGTATCATTTCCATTAGTTGATCTGGACTTGTCGAATTTCTCGGTAACCTCAGAGAAGGTGCCACTTTATGATCTTTGTGGTTTTATCACTCATCAAGGAGGCGGAGCAGATAGTGGACATTATTTGGCATATTGCCGCAACGAAATTGACGGGAATTGGTTAGTCTATAGATTATCTGTCATTTATCGTATCTTCTGGTTTTTATGAGATTGTCGAGGTACGAATACGACGATAACATGTTAACAAAGCTGGACTCTGCTCATGTCCTCGCGAAAGAAGCATATGTTCTTTTCTATCAGAAGAGACCATCTGTACTTATTGAAGCTGCTCGGCGTAGAACTATGGAGATGCTATATGCTGAGGAGACTGTTAAGGTAAACGCAAGTATGATTACGCAGTTATGTTTTTCCACTTCAACAAGTACTTGACTGTTTAATACACTCAAGCTAATGAACATTTACGTCCCTAAAAGTAATTTATAGTTTAGCGCTCTAATTTTAACACATTAAGCCTGTATTGGTTTTTCTATAACTGTGGGAAGCTGCTGTACAGGTTGAGTAGTTTAGGAGTTTTGAATTCAGCAGCCTGCTAGAAAGGCGCTGCTTTGTCTCTCTGAGAGTCTACACAATCCTCATAAAACATCCTTGTGCCTTGTTTAAAACCGCTAGCTCAAGAACGAAATTCAAATATTTTAGTGCAGACTTTGGATCTTTGCTCAGTTGCTTTGCTGTTTTAGATATTGACTTTAATGAAGGAAATCGAAGAAAATCTCTTTTGGCCATCACAAATTTCGAAACCCTTCGTTTTTGAACAAGAAAATTTTGCATTATTGGCGAAGCTTCGTAGATTCTACTGGTTTTTTGTAGTTGAAAAGGTTAACTATGAGTGGGAAAGTATATATCTATAATTTAAATGGGTAATTATTTATGGACATATATGAGTAGACTCACGTAATGCTATATGGCATTATTGTACTTGATGTATGTTACTGGGTGTGGAACTACGATGTATAGTGGAGGGTCCCTTACCCTTCAGAAATGTCATGAATCATCTGCGTTCTAGTATCATAGTAATCGTAAATTGAATCTTTATATGATCCGCCAGACCTAACTTTGTTATTCTGGCAACTGGTGTCTCCAGTGTAGTTTGTTGTCTAAATCGTAGACAATTTCGCCTTACGGTACGTTTACAGGTTCACTCAAAGTCACAACTATATATTTCTTCCGAATGGCTTTTGAAACTAAGTACATTTTCTGATCCGGGACCAGTAACGAACTATTCGTTTCTGTGCCGGCATGGTCATCTTCTACCTCGTCGAGTTGATTATCTGTCCAGACTTTGTACACCTGTCCCTGCCGATCTTGGATACTATCTGCTTAATAAGTGAGCTTTGTATATAATCAGTAAGTGAGCTGCAATTTTCTGTCAAAGAATTTGTCAATAGTACTACATTGTGGGCGAACATCTTTAAATATATATATGCGTGTTGCTTTTTTGCAGATTTGGAGGAGGTCCTGCAGTCAACGCATTACATTATTGCTTGGTTTGTGACAAATACTGGCGTTGGCTACAAGAAAAGAGGGCCGTAGAACAACTAAGATTCCGGCAGCTTGAAGACGCAGTGAGTAATACTTTTAACACAGTTTAAGCTATGACTTTTTTTTTCCTTTGCTGACTCTTCTGTTACAAGATTCGCTCTACATTATGCTCTGGCTCCGTAGAATCACTATATTCAAGTCACCTACCTCCTTCGGTTATAAGCAGGGCTTGGTTTATGTCATGGGAGAAGTTTATCAATCATCCTTGTAGCGGTGTGTTTTCTAGTTTCGTCTACGTCATGCTAGAGTTTTTTTTCTTCGATTTTAAATCAGTACATCTTATTCCAAATGATACTCATAATTTTAGAACCACCTGGACCTATCGACAATACCGTGCTACTTTGTAAAGCAGTAGATGGCACCGAACGGTTGAAGCCGCGCTCAAACTTTATGCGTATTGAGCGAGAATTATATATGTTTTTGCGGACGATCTATGGCGGTGGACCGGAAGTTAGTACCATAGTGAATTTTGTAAAACACATTTCATTAGATTACGGAGTTTTTTTATGAGGGCGTTGGGAAAAAGTGCACTGCTGAAATAGTCTCTAATAATTCATTCAATTTTGTGAGTTACATTATCTCAGTGCGCTATATGTGAAGAATTTCGAAGTGAAGCAATCATTCGATTTTCGGAGAGGCCCTCTTTTTTATGTATGTTTAAAGGTTTTCTTGATGGAAGAGCCACAATGGACTGAATCGGAGCTTTCGGAAGTATTATCTGAAGTTGAAAAAAAGATGTGGACACCAAATCCAGATGTGACTTGCCAACGACTTAACGCTGGATAGTACAATTCGATTTTTCCCTCTCTTACCATTCTTCAGAAGGTTTTCAAGGGATTGTTAACCTCAGGATGCTTTAACCAAAAACATGCCCACTATGTAGCCATTAACTCATCAAAGTAATGAACTAGCACTCGGTGCGAATTTCTGGAGTTCGGGTGTACGTGCTTAATTCCCACCGAATACAGTTTATTTGTCTTTTTGTTTTATTCGGTTGTACTATGGCTTAACAAGTGTGTGTACCTTAACACAAATTTATAACTTGTTGGTTGCTAGTCTGCGCAGATCACAACGGATTTTGTTATTACATTTTTCCATCAGGACTTGTTATTAAAATAGCTCGACTAATTCTAACCACATGCTGTAAATCTCCTTTTGTAACTATTATATTACTTTTCTGGTAGGAGGGATGTGTCTGATAAACGCAGTGTCTGATATGTCGCTTGAGCTTAAACTCGTCCACTACCGATCGGGTTAACACTGACGCTTAGTCCATGTATGGGACGACTTTCAAAATAAGCGTGTTTGGAGGTGGTTGTTTTTGCTAAGTTTGTTTCCATTCATTTATTTTATTCCTCTATGTAGCGATTTTCTCTATACAGGTCCTCACATTCGCACGTTTTCATATTTTTTTTCGCTATCTATATTTTCTTAGCAATTGCTTTAGTTCGGTGTGCATCTTGATTTTCCATGAATATTGATTCTGTTGTTAAGAAGCTCATACACATTTGGTGCCAACAGAATGCTGCTGTGTTGAAATGAAGTTGATTTGCTCAGGCTGTCTATGAACTAAGTTCACTTCACAAATCCAACAGTTTAGCGGTATCACTTTTTCCCTGAATAGATATAGGTAGAACTTTCAATCTTATTTGGGATAGTATTGAGTCTTTTCACTTCAATACATTGAAAATTAGAGTGACTCCTGTATTTTATTGAAGTTCAATCGGAGATGTGAAATAGACTTTAGAGTATACACTGAGTTGGTTATAAACTTCGGAAGCAAGGTACTTCCACTGAGAGCGTGTTACAAGTAGAGGAGTAGTGACGCGAAGCAAACCATTCTGAATTGCGATTTATGGGAAGGAATTTGATTTTGGATCATTATGTAGATAATGGAAATGTAACGGTCATACCTTTGCGTTATCTGTGCCAGTATCGGAGTCGACGACGGTACGGATTGTTGTTACTGCTCCGATTTGTGGTACACAAGTGCCTACAGCTCTCCAGCCCTGAAAACTGGTGATTGGTGACCTATGCAATGAGTCCTACTAGTGAAAATCATTTACTAAACCACCTGTTGGCCATTATTCGTACGAATAAGGCAGTTCTGAGGAGTATAACCGCTTGTTTGCCAAGTTGTACCTCGTGCTACCACTCCAATTTTGTTGAGTGATTTTAAGATCTGAAATTGATCAAACTCTGATCAAGAACGCTTTTAAAAAATACGCAAAACTAACATACAGCTGCATCTATATCATTTTTCATCACTCTGTGCGCATCATTCAGTGAAGCTTGCTGTTCCGGATACACTGCAGCCTGTTCGGGTTGTATTCCAGCTGGTGGAGGAGGCTTAATGTTTATTTAAAACAAAATCATCCGTATCTGTTGTGATTACCTACTGCGTTATATTTACAGTATAGTAAGTCCATTGAATGGGAGGATAGAACGAGAACTTGAATGTCGGTTTCGTTACAATAGTAGCATCAGGTCCTGCAAACATACTGGACAAATGAATTAGTAACTACTAATTGTACTATTACTACTAATTGGTGTTCAGTTTAGTTGACTTACCCGGACTACAAGCATATGTAGTTTTAATGACGGTTAACAGTAATGTCGCTAAGAACATTTTTTTAAACATTATGGATAGTGATGGCGCTTTTTATACCTATAACTATGTGAATGTTGTAACTTTATGCAAATAGGAGACATTGAAAACGTTTCAATTTTGTGTAACTATGACTTTTGCTAACAATACCAAATAATGGTATCGAACTAAAGTTACGGCAAAGTTATGACATCGTATGCTTTTATTCTTGGCCCACATGACAGTGTTTGTCGAAGAAATCATGCAAAATCGGATACCTTTGCCAGCAAAGGAATGAATCATGGCGTCTGTCGTTTTGGTTCAGCAATAAACGCTTGCACAAGTGCAAGAAAACAAGCATCGTCTCATTCTTTAAAGCATATCATGTATACCATTAAGGTGTTTCGCAGAAAGATATTAACGTCATACTGTAAACATGACGATAAAACATAAAGCTTCCAGTGCCGATCAGTTTCCGAGGAGAGCGGTATGTATTTAATCCATCATCGTGGAGGTGACTGAAAGCATATTTGGCTCATCCAACGACTCGTAGGGGTCCACTGATGCATAAAGTGAATATTTCTCTCCACATAGAACGGCCTGTTGAAACTTGTCAGCAACAAAGAAGTGAGGACTTTATTTATCCTGTGACGCCGCATAGAACCATAGACTACGTGCGTATTTCGTAACACATCTAGTCATCTACACGCATTGTCCTGAAAAAAATATTAATCAAACTCCATCATTGATAAAATTCGATTTTTTTGCTTAATTTCTCTATAAAATTTCACATTTGGCTTCTCTAGCGTCATGACTGTGATTTTCAAATGATGGTCGAAGATTTCCTTAAGAAGAAGCACGAACGGAAGTATCCGATTGCTTCACAAAAAAGTCAAGAGCTCGTGGAAAGCGCAAGCGATAAAAAGGACAGAAATAGAGTTTAGGTAGAAGAAAAAGTGGAGAAATCATAGTTGTCCAGTTGACCTGCAAAATAGAGATCATTACCTACATACGAACACCTATCAGGATCTTCAGTTAGCTGATGATGATCAACATTACATAGTCTCTCATTACATAGTTATAGTCATCTCAAAAATGTAGTGCATGTTGAATATTCAATTAATCGAACTAATCGTTCGATCTAAGTGCGATACGATGCTAGACTGGTAATTGCATGCTGCTGCT